TTCGGCGTTCTTCCGGGCTCTCGGTAAAGCGCTCTCCATGGAACTTCACTATACCTCTGGATATCATCCGGAAGCCGACGGGCAAACTGAGCGTGTCAACCAGACTCTCGAGCAGTACATCAGGATCTATTGTTCCTACCAACAAGATGACTGGTCGCCTCTACTTCCGATCGCCGAGTTCGCCTATAACAACGCTCCCAATGCTTCCACTGGTATTACTCCATTCTTCGCTAACAAAGGATACCACCCAAATATCACCGTTCGGCCCGAGGTCGATATGAAGTCTGACCTAGCCAGAGACTTCGTCGTCAACCTCGATGAACTCCACGTATTCCTTCGAGAGGAGATCCTTTTAGCCCAATCTCGTTACAAGGAACAAGCTGACAGGAAAAGAATCTCGCACCCGGAGTTCCCGATCGGCTCCGAAGTATTCGTTCTTGCTAAGCACATTCGTTCTACTCGTCCTACTGAAAAATTCTCAGAAAAATATCTTGGTCCTTTCAAGGTCATCAGTCGACCTGGTACTTTGTCTTACGAGCTCAAGCTCCCAGACTATCTTCGCCGCATTCATCCGGTTTTCCACGTCTCACAGCTGGAGCCGGTTACGCCGAATCCTTTCCCGAATCGTACTCAATCTCCTCCACCTCCAATTGAAGTTGATGGTGAAGAGGAGTACAACGTTGCCGAAATCCTCGACTCCAAGCTGGACAGAAGGTATAAACGTTGTCCTCTACGTTATTACATTCGGTGGGCCGGTTATGAAGGTACCGACGATGAGTTCTCTTGGGTTGCTGCTGATGAATTACATGCTGACGAACTTGTACCGGCGTTCCACGCCCGATACCCTCACAAACCTGGACCTTGATCACAAAAAATCATTTTATTCCATTTCCCTTTTTCACCGCGCTCCGCCGAAGTCTACTTTGTGCGTTTAGAGGATAAACACGATGATAGCAAATTGAGTGTTTATCTCTTTTTTCTTAATTACTTACATTCTTCTTCGAACTATTTGCACTTATATTTCATTCATACTTATACTATTTACACTTCGAACTAATTATTTCTTACGCCGCTTCGCGGCCCATTCGCTTTCCGATCTCAAATCGAGTTAACATTTTTTATATATACAAAGACCAAACAACAAAGAAAATTGTACAACGAGGGCAGGGCGACAAGAAGTATACAAGAAGAGGCCGAAGGCCGATGTCCGATGTCCGATGTTACTCTACTCCGCCCTCTCCTTCCCTTTCTCCGACCGGGCCTTCTTCGGCGCCGGTTCTCCCTCCTCCTCTACCTCCTCCTCTCCTTCTCCATCCTCTTCTTCTTCCATCCTCCTATCCTCTTCCTCCTCCTCACTATCCACGGCCCTTCGCCTCTTCTTCGGCAGCCGCGAAGGCCCTGGTTCCGGCATCTCCGGTGGCGTTTTCCTCCTTCTCGCGGCGTCCGTCATCAACCAGTCCAATTTGCGGTTGATATGGCGGTTGTAGGTGTTGTCCTTCAACTGGCCCTCTCGAAGCTGCCGGTTGTCTGCCAGCAGTTGAGCCATTTGGCTCTCCAAGATCGCCAGGCGCTCGCCGATCGGTTGTCCCCCCCCCTCTCGCTTCACCGTCGAAGGCCGCCCGGAGTACGAGCATCTGACCTTTGCGTCGTGACAGGGTTTACAAATAATTGAACTCCTCTTGCCAGCCTGCATCTGGCAAGGGATCTTCTTGTTCCTGCATCGTTCGCAGGGAACTCTTTCATCTTCGTCGTCGTCGTCGTCGTCGCCGTCACCGCCGTCGTCGGGGTCCCCGCCAACAGGCTACAAACAAGACCAGGAATGTTAGTTAAGGTTTCTGTCGAAAACTTACGATTACTCACCTGGGCCTTGGCTTTGCCTTTCCCCTTCTCCCTTCGAATTTCCACCACTGGTCGTCGTAGGGAAACCGAACTTCCTCCTGGAGAGGAACCCCGCTGACTTCGAGCGGTGGCCGCCGCCGCCATTACCCTCCGGCGCTCCTCCAACTCCCGAGCTGCCGCCTCCTTCTGCCTCTGCGCTTCCTCAGCAGCTTTCCTAGCTGCCTCTTCCTCGGCCTTCTTCCTCGCCGCCGCCGCCGCTTTCCTTGCCTTCATCCTGCGGACCTTCTCCTCCGCCCGCCGGATAGCCTCATCGTCGTCTTCTTCCAACTCCTCCTCGTCGTTGTCGACAGGGTCGGCGGGTGGTGGAATTGTTGTTCGGGACCTCGAAGGCCCAGCGGTAGTAGCGGAAGTGAGGGTGGTAGTGGTGGTACGGCTAGCGGACATTTTTTGGACTTAGAAGTTTTGGGAACTTGGGTCCTACCGGCGAAACTCTGGGCCTTTTATACGGCAAAACTGCGCACGGACCAGCGAAAATTTTCCTTCGAATTGTACTTGGTGTACGGTGAACCGAAAATTTTCACTGATGACTAACGCCATTTCCCGGTACTAACGGCTTTCGAAAATTTTCCTGCTGACTGATAGGCCAAATCCCCGATCCTGACGGCCTTTAAAATTTTTTCCTTGGTGACTAACCAACTACCGGTATTAATGGCTTTCGAGGGCTCAAGCCTAAGAGGGGGATACTGTCAAGTCCATGCCACGGGCCTCCATTCCGCCGCTCGGTATTCCGAAGATCTGCTCTTATTGTAATCTCTTCCTATTGTTCTTTCTCGCTACACATATCCTTTCGTTCTAGTCTCTCATTATTGTCTTTTACTCTTTCGTGCTAGTCTCTCCTTATTGTCTTTTACTCTACCCTGCAGGTACTACTCGTATAGCTCCTAGTAGTTAGTCTAGCGCTCCGCACCGATGCGCCGTTCCGTAGATATAAATATTGCCTGTACGCTACTGTAGTTCCTCAGTTTAATTATCAACTTAGATCAACTTAGATCTCCCTTCTCAACTTAACTCTTCTCTAAGTCTTCAGGCTCAACGCCTTGAAGTTCTCTACACTATAACCTTAGGACTTAGACGTCCTCTGGTTCGCTCCTCGTCACCGGCGATACCGCCGCTCCGACCTGGCTGCTACTTAGCTCCTCTCTATCTACTCTCGCTCTCCGGGGACTAACGGCGTAACGGCGGTGTTGTTAATAACTTCACTACTGTCCCATTCGTCTTCCGCACTTAGGCACCTTGTAGCTTTGGCACGGTTACACGGTGCACATGATCTTAACATGGTCCCTTTACAGGTACATCATCAATGTAAGGAATTGTTACCTGTGGTATTTCATCTCGTAGAATATATGTCACATCATCGTGAAATATAGGTACAGAATTCGTCCACCCCATAGGTAGTTTTACTAACCTATGTGGTCCATACGGTGTTTAAAACGTCATCATGTCTCTAGACAATTGATCTAATTCTCGTTCATCATATCCAACATATAAATCTAAGGTTCCTCCACAAGATCTTCCACTGAAGGATCTTGCTAGATCTGCAGTTGCAGGAGGTACACCCGAGTGTTGGATGGTAACCTTATTCAAAGGTTCCAAACTATGTACTAATCGTAGACTCTTGCCATCTTTCTTAATGACACAGAACCATTTCGAACGATAACTAGCATTCAATGGTTCGTATATTCCTGAGTCAATTTTACTTTTAATTATTTTGCACACATCCTCGAAGATACCTGGCGGAATAGGTATATTCCTTTCAACCCACGGTTCATGTGGAATTACAGGTACTTTCACAGGTGGAAAGAATTCATTTTTAAAGGTCCCAGCTTCACTTGGTTCCCAAGCAAAACCTGCTTCCTGTTTACACATCATTTCGTGCATAAGATCTCTTTCTTGTTCCCACAAAAATCCTTCAGGATGATTCTTGTCTATAATCTCTTTCCTCTCTTCCGTATATCTTCCCGTAGGAACAAACGGTTTAGGATGTTTCGACAATTCAGGTAATTCCAATAACAGATCACCATGAATGTGTCTTTCAATTCGAAATTCATCTGGTAACGTTGCCTTTATAGGGTTAACCTTTTTATCAACTGATTTATACTTCGTAAACACTTCTTCTGTATTCAAGTTGATTGGTTTCTTGACTCCTATGACTTCATTATCTACTTGTTTATTCGTTTCATCTATTAAATTGATAGGAGATCTATCCTGCTGATTCAATTTAATACGTTCTTCAAGTTTGTTTGTTGGAGGTTCAGTCACTACATCTGCCTGAACATTCTCCTTCTTGTCCTTCGAGTCCTGGGCCTTTCCTTTTCTTCGTTGCCTCGACTCATATCTTACTTTCTCAAAACTCGGTTGGGATCTTTGGAATGATTCAGTTCCTCTTTTGAGTATTTCATATTGAACCATTCTCTTCCTAGTTCTTTGAGAGTTTCTAGGTTTATTCCAATTATCATCTCTGATTGTTTCAGAGGTATTTTCATTATTACATTGATTCTGTGTGGTTTCTGTGGATTCAGATTTATCGCAATTCTCCCCCAAACTAAAATTTTGTAGTATAGGTTTGACAAATCGCCTCTTCTGAACTTTCTTTCGTACGGGTTTAGGCTTGATCCTTCCATTTTGAAGGAAGAACGACTTTATAGGAGTTAAATTGAATTGGTCATTATTCAATTGTTCGTCAAATTCGCCTAAAACACCATCTCTCCATACACAGAATACTTGTTTATCCCCAATCGTCTTTTGATTAAGGTAACAATCGATTATTTCTTCAGCTTGATCATCTTGAGATTTCAAATGTTCCCTAGATGCAAGAACATATGCTTCAGAAAGCTCCTTCTTAGAGAACGTTTCTTGTTCACATCGTTTGTATCCATCTAATACGATGTTTTGCTTTTCATCAAAGTGGAAGCTTATAGCGTATTCATCCTCTCCTTGGTCGCTACTCAACTCATCGAGGAATGAAAATTTCCCTTTAAATCATTTTCACCTGTCGATTTTTCATTATCAGGTGTAATGAGATTTGCACCAGACGTCCGCATTGCGAATGATGAAACTGCGACTCGTCATGAGGAGGTTCAACGAGAATGTAACACATCTACTCACTCTTCCTTGATAGTATGAGGTTTCCCCAATAACGCGCTATGGCTTCTGTCCAAACAGAAACATAAAATCCATGTCCGTTCCCGATTATGTACCTCGATGTCACGAGCGTGTCCTTCTTGAGTATCTTGACTATTGACCGCGGTTTTGCGATGAAGGTTAAGGTCTGTGGCAATTCTAAGTTGATTTTGAGTAATGATTTATCACGAGATGCATGAAAGAAACAGACCTGATAGCCATACCTAGCAAAAGCCATGTCTTGTCCTGTTCGTAGCGCTCCACAGCTCCCACACCCCACATTGTGAGTAGCAAGTATGCCTGGACTATCTCCACCGATTTGTATCCTTTGGCTGGAACACTAAAGGCAAGTTTTTTGGATAGTTCGGTGAGCCGAGGATGTAATTCCGGCTTTTCGAGATAAAATTTGCTGGCTATAGCGCAGACTTCGAGATTCTTTCCTTCTCGGAGGGAAGGACTTTACCATCCGCACCAAGATGGTTGAAAGCGGGGCGCTGACCGCCAGATTGGCCGGAATTCGAAGAGTTCTGGGGCTTACCATTGTTGTTAGGCTTACTACCAGAGAAGGGTTTAGGCTTCGTCGTGAATGGCGCTGAAGAGCCAGATGGCTGAGAGTTGTTTTGCTGGTTAGTAGAACCAGTTTTAAAGTCCGAGGAACCCTTCTTCGGGTTCCGAGTAACAAAAGGCTTACCAGCCTCACGCCTTCTAGTTTCCTCGCGTTTCCAATAACGATTGTCAATACGAAGAACTTCCTGACGATAATCGGCGAGCGTCGCCGGCTCGGGCAAACGCGCCATTTCGTCGTTGATGCGTTCAGCTAAGCCTCGTCCATAAGCCCATTTCAGGGCAGCAGAATCCCAGTTGGTACTAGCAGCCAGGGTGTTGAACCGGATGTTGTATTTCCGGATGTTCTCGGTTTCCTTCATCTTCAGATTACCGAGAGAATCTTCGGCCTCGCCTTGGGCGTCGTAAACGCCGAAATTATCCTGGAGCTCCTTTACAAGGGCCTTGAAGGAGGATGTCCAGGCCGGCAGCGAGTCGAGATCCGGGTCGAAGATATCAGGGACAAACCACTCTTTGGCTGACCCACTGAGATAGGAAAGAGTGTAGTTCACCTTCCGTTGGTCGGTGAAATACTTTGGACGGTCATTGAAGACCAGGGCAAGATTGATGAAGAACGTTTTAAGTTTTCGGGGATCTGAACCGTCGAATACCTCTGGCTCCTTGACCTTGCTCTTGGATTCAGAGCTGTCAGAGGGACGGCCGAGAGTGGCGAGGATGGTACCAAGGGTCTCAATGGAGCCCTTGAATCCCGAGAGGAGTTCCAACATAGCACGTTGCTCGTTGGGGATGTCAGGAGAGATTGGGGAACGGGGTCCACTAGGTCCACCAGGACCGCCGGGACCACCGGGACCACCAGGACCACCAGGTCCACTGGGGTCACCAGGCTCACCACGCGGTAAACCGCCGGAGTCATCATCCAGATTGTCATTATTGTTGTCGGCGCCCGGATCGTCGGGGTCGACCGGAGGGTCTTGATCATCGTGATCACCAGTGTCCAAATCGAAGTTACAAGAGCTACAGGACAACTTTGGCATTTACAATGCCAAAGATTCTTTCAGTAACCTGAAGATAAAGGAAACCGAAAACATCCGGAAATACAACATCCGGTTCAACACCCTGGCTGCTAGTACCAACTGGGATTTGGCTGCCCTGAAATGGGCTTATGGACGAAATGGTGCATGTACCTGAGCCAGCAATGCTTGCCAATTATTGTCAAGAAGTTCTTCATATTGACAACTGTTATTGGAAGCACAAAGAAACTAAGAAGTGTGAAGCTGGTAAGCCTTTTATTGCTTGGAACCCAAACAAGGGTTCGTCGGACTTCAAAGCAGGTTCTACTAACCAACAGAACAACTCTCCGCCATTGAGCTCTTCAGTACTCATTCACGCTGAAGCCTAGACCTTCAATGGAGGTAAATCAAACAACTCTGGTAAACCTCATAACTTTTTGAATTTTGATTCAACTGGCAATCAGCGCCCTGCGTTTAATCATCTCAGTGCAGATGAGAAAGCTTTTCCCTCCTAGAGGGAAACAAGAATGAAGAACAATCTTTGTCTCTTCTGCGGTGGTAAGCATCAGATTGCTGACTGCAACAAGTGAAAGGCCCGAGAATCAAAAGATCGTGCTGCTGAAGTTGAAGAAACCTCCGACGCAACGCTGATTGTTATGGAAGAGGAATTGGAAACCTAATCTGCAGCTCTTCTTCGATGGTACAAAATGGGAACTGCATTGATCAGGTTCATACCTCACCTGAAGAGTTATATCTCAATGCATCCACTCTTTCTTCTATTGAATGATCTCTTCTAATATCTTGAACTACTGAATTTCCTTTGTCCGATTTGGCTGAACCTATCTCTGCTTTTCTCAAATTTCTTACTCTTGTTGATTCTGGTTCTATTGACTCTTTTATTAATACCCATTATGTTTACCCTTTTATGTTACACATTTAGATTCATCTAGTAAAGCAGTATTAGGTTTCAGTTTCTTATCGCACTACGATCTGTTGATTGACTGGGCTTCTCGAAACATTATGTTCCATAGCACTTCACACTTTGATTCTCCACCGATGTCTGTGCCTTCCGCCACCAACATTGTTGATGCAAAGGTTGTTGTTCTGTTACCAGAATCTTCACTATTGGTTTCACTAACAATTCTGGAAACCCCTCCTGGGGATTCACTTTGCTCTTGCTCTCGCTACCACTGTCGGTCGAAATGAGCCAAGCCCCTTTTGTCCAAATTCCCTTTTGAATCCATCTATTCTTATCCTACGGTCTCTCAATTATGAGTTCCATTTATGGAATTTGTTCTATACGCTCAAAAAAAAAATTGCACAGCCACTGTGACCGCTTAAGGGTGAGAAATTCTTCCCTTTTATAATTTACTAGCCTGAGCCACGTTTCACCTTCCTATCCTACGATTTGTAGAAACTTGCTCTTGCAGTCCACGAACCACCACTGGCCTTTCCTTTTCATTGATGGCGGGGTAAGAGAATTGATTTGGATTTAACTTGCCTCTTGATGACAAGTGCTCTTCTCATTGAACTTACTTCCTATTTCTCCTTCGTACGTTTACCTGATAATTTGTCTTCTCCTTTCTCTTTTATATGGTTTTTATGGTTTTTTTTCTCATTAATTCTAAATTATTTTCATTATTTTCCCTTGAAGTCAACTAACTGCCATTTGACTTGACAGTGTGACTCTGTTTCAGTTGACAATCTCCCTGCCCTCTGGGCTTCTTCCACTTCTATATACCTGAACCAAGAAACTGCTTCCCCTAAACCATGCTTTCCTATAAATCCAATGTCCTTTTTCGATTGGGTGCCAATGGATCCACTTCAATACTACCATGCTCTGTCTGCTTGGGTACAAAGTGCACCTTTGGTCCTTCTATATTTAATTTAATCTCTCTAATTTGCTTATATCAAGTATTGGGTGTTTATGTAGAAAAACAGTTGCATCATTCATGCTTTGTTCTTTTATAAGCACTCTGCCTCTGCACAATAACTGTAATTTATGCACTTGCAGATCCTTAGGAGGATTGCCTTGGAACTGAACTCGTACCAGCCGGCTCATGGAGCCGGCTAGCAAACAAGTTTGCTGCTCAACTGGAAACTCCTGAGGTTGACATTGCACTGGTCAGTGCTGCAGTCTTTAATAGGGCTTGCAAGGGCACAGGTATGGAATGTATTCTCCTTTGTGCTATTCACTCAGAGGTCACGGCCTAATGCTGCAGACCACTCCTCCACTACTCCGGCATAATGGCAGTGTTGTTAATAATTTTACCACTATCCCATTCGACCCTCTGCCTTTAGACACCTTGTGGCCTCTGGCATGGCTTCATGGTGTCAATAATCTTAACATACTGCAGGAATGGCTAAGTCACTTTCCTGGATTGGAGTTAGCGCCCAAAGCTCCCTACAAGTCCCCATTGCACATAGCATGTCACCTAGCTGACGTTATGTTTGGACTTCCAACCCAAAACCATCAACAACAGGGAGATTCTATAACAGGCCCAGCTGGAAGGAGGGATAGCAAAAGGCTTCAGCGACTTGAGAGGGTGAGGAAAACTATGAGGACAGAAGTCAAGAAGAAGAAGAGCAAGTGAAGCTACCAGATGCTTCATAGATAAAACTGTCGTTAAGTGACACCTTGAAAACTTCATTGTCTTAACAAATAGCATCCTTCTGGAACTGTTCCATGGGCAACCTACCTCCGCAAGTTTTATAACTCAGGTCTACATTGACCAGATCAGCTTTGCAAATGGAACAATTCACAAGGTCAAGTTTTTGGTGACTTGATACATCGCACAGCTCCCATTGTTCTAGGATACCATGACTACGCATGCACAACCTAGAAATTGATTGGAAGGAACTTTTTCTGACATTCCGGGACTGAAATGTCTGAATCTCAGCAACCCTTGCATTAGAAATTGTGCAACCAGGCGCTGAGGGAGGTATGGAGGAACTGGAAAGGGGATAAACAACAAAAGAAGCTCCCCACACACCAAAGGAAATGTTTCCCCAAGGCAAAGAAGTTCCTTACCAGCTTCCCAAAGCTCCATGGATGAAGGCAAAGGTAGAGGAAGGGGTCAATGAGAAAAATGAGTCAAGACAAGTGGATCCACACAAGTTAGTTTTCCTCAGACAAAAAGCTTGGGCAAGACAACCCAATTGTTATGAGAATTAATGAATGGCTAGTTTTTATAAACAACAGAACTGAACTGAAGATGGAGGTATTTCTTGAGCCAGGACAATGTGCCACAAAAATGGTAACCTGCAACCAGCAAAAGACTCAGAGGAAGACTACAAAAAATTAGAAGAGTCACAATAGGTAATAATTCTCCTTCTGGCCAGGATGTACACCATTAAGTTCAACACACAGGGGAACCTTCTGGAATACAAAGCACCCTATGTCACACAACGGTACATGCAGATACAACACCAGGACTACAATAAAACATACAAAGGTGTTGCATGCATGAAATCAGTTTGACTGATACTGGCAATAGTGGCTGCTCTGAGGCTATCGATCTTTCAAGTTGATTTCACGGCGGCCTTTCTAAATAGCCCAATAACCCACAACGTCTACATAAAACAGCCTGAGGAATTTGTGAAGCCAGGTTCTGAACACCTCGTTTGCAAACTAAAGAAGTTGATTTACGGAACAATGCAGGGTAGCCATGACTGGCAGGAAACCTTCACAGCTGGATACATTGCAGATAGCTAAGCTATACAGCATTGAGGCAACCGATGCATACGATACCAATGTGTTGACCATAAGTACACCATCACTAGCACATGTGGAGATGATATGTGCAAGGGATCTTCAACAAGACAGGAAGTGATGAGGCAGTAATAGACTTGGGTAAATGTTGGGAAGTGCATGAGGTCAAATCAGAGGTATTGCTGAGTATGACTGTACAGCAAGACCCGGAATGAAGTCCATCAACTTGTCCCAGAAGACCTACTTCCTGCGTATACTAGTTACCTTCAACCTTGAGAATATATGACACTGATACACCCCCTTATCAGCAGATGTTAAGCTTAGTGACTTCCTATGCACATTACCTGATGACAAACCCTTGTTTACTAGGGACAAACCATATTGCTCCATTGGCAGATGCATCATGTAGGGACAACTACACATGTGGCCAGACCTAGCATTCACAGCAGGACTACTAGCCAGGTACCAACTCAACCCTGGCTGTCAGCACTGGGAGTATATCGAGTGGGTAGTAGGATACATTCAGTGACATGCAAATCAAATCCACACCCCCTGATTTGGAAATTTTGTGATCAAACTGTTTTTGTGAACATCTTTGTATGCTACACCCTGTAAAGCATGTTGATTCTACTATAAAGAGTTGTTTGTGACAATGTAAGCTGTTTAAATTCTCAAAATTTGATAATTCTGAGCAGTGGAACAACAGTATTACTGTTCTGGGCTGGTTGACATAAGGCTTTCCAAATCAGGAGGTATGGATTTGATTTACGTGCCACTGTACACCACACTATTGACTATTCCATCACATATTGGTGCCAGGAAATCTCAACCCACTGCTGGGAGCTGGCTTGAAATCTTATGTGTATGTTGATTTCAATCATGCAGGGTGCTGGGACACCTACTGCTCCACCTCAGGCTACATTTTCTTCATGGCAGGTGCACTGGTCTTCTGGAGTTTGAAGAGACAATCCACAATGGAGTTGAAGTACATCAGTCTGTCGTGAGTGACTGCCAAGTCCATGCCTCGGGCTTCCATTCCGCCGCTCAGTATTCCGAAGATCTGCCCTTTATTGTAATCTTACTCTTATTGTTCTTTCTCGCTCCACATACCCTTTCGTTCTAGTCCCTCCTTATTGTCTTTTACTTTACCCTGCAGGAAATACTCGTATAGCTCCTAGTAGTTAGTCTGGCGCTCCTGTAAGACCTGGGTCAGAATAGGTCTTAGGGTAGGTTTTGGTATATGAAGGTTTATGTTGTAGCGTGCTAGGAGCAGGCTGGAGCTCGAAGGGAGCTACGGGAACCGCGACCGAGGACAGGAACGGCCTACCAGCGGCCGGAAGACGAGACGATGACCCTTGAGGGTGTTCCTAGGAGGTCCAGGGAGGTTAAGTAAGAGTGCGGGACCGTACAGTATTGCATAGTAGGAGTTGTACTCGCTAGAACGTCAATATAGGATCAAGTAGGCCATAGATGTGAATGGGTCGCAAGGGTGTAAGCTCCCGAGAAGGTATATGCCAAGGAGGGGAGGTCCCTGGGGACTGGGCTTGAGGATGGACGTCCTCGAGTGTGGGAGGTGGTAACGGAAAAGCGATATGTAGTTCGATGTGGGGGATAGCTTCAACGTTACTTAGATCGAGGTCCCGAAGCTTACGAAGTAGCTAGGGAGCTGTGGGAGGTTTGGGGAAGGGTAGCTCACCAAAGTGTTTAGGCGTTGGGGAGCTTTAGTAATGTTTGAGGGAGCTCGGAGACTCACTCGGAAGGCTTAGACTTGAAGTAAAAGTGTATATTCGATCGTATAGACCATCAGAGAGACAATAGATGAGAGTAAAGAGAAACAGAGGTAGAGAAACAGAGAGTAAAGAGAATTCCGTATAGGTAGCAGGTACAAAGGGACAAGGACTGGACCTATGTAAAGGGTGTGTGTTCAACATATACCAAGCTGGGGCTTCAGGACATTGCGGCGTTACTTAAATAGGTACGGAAAGTGAACAAGAGAACATCTGGAGACATGAGGCAGCTAATCGAGGGAGGGAGGTAATCGAGATTAATACTTAAAGGGGTTGTTGGCTAGGACGGTTTTCGTACGCGTGTTGGAGTGAAGGACGTTTGGGTAATTGCGTCAGGAATACTTGGGGAGGTGTCTGGTGGTACTTGGGGAGGTGCAGAGGAAGTACAGGAGGTGGGTAGGACGTATGGCAACGTGTGGCGGGTACTGGGACTGGTCTGGTTGTAGCCAGGGCATGACAGCTCCGCACCAATGCGCCGATCCATAGATATAAATACCGCCTGTACACTACTGTAGTTCCTCAGTTTAATTATCAACTTAGATCCCCTCCTCAACTTAGCTCTTCTCTAAGTCTTCAGGCTCAACGCCTTGAAGCACATTCTACTCAACCTTAGGACTTTGCCGTTCTTTGGTTCGCTCCTCATCGTCGGCAATACCGCCGCTCCGACTTGGCTGCTACTTAGCTCCTCTCTTCTATACTTTCGATCTCCGGGGACTAATGGTGTAACGGCGGTGTTGTTAATAACTTCACTACTGTCCCATTCGACCTCCGCCCTTAGACACCTTGTGGCCCTGGCACGGTTACACGGTGTACATGATCTTAACAGTGACCCACAAGCTGTATGGTTAGCATCATTCATGGCTGAAGTTGACTTCGCTGAGGATGGACCCATCAACTTACGGGTGGATAAGTTCAGATCCATTTGTCCGACTGAAAATTCCAAGTGCAATGCATTAGTCAAGCACATGGAAATACATCATCACTACATATCGGTGGAAGTCTCCAGCATATCCAGTCAGGGGACAAAGTAGCAGACATATTTACCGAGCCAGTAAGTGGCATTATACACTCCCAACTTGTCTCACAACTCAGAGTAGTACAGTTGTAGATAGATCACACAATCAGATGTACACGTGCTCCCTCAGTTGTTTTTATTATATCAGCTGAGGTGAGCTCACTAACACATTAGGATTCCCGCACTTACTGATGGTAACCCTTAGTTCAACCCTATGTTAACAGGTACAAAGACAATATATTGTTACTTTCATATCAGCTGAGCTTAATCCTACATGTACAGCAAGAACTGACTTGTCATGGTATTATAGTTTTCAGCTTAGTTCAAGTAGTTTCAACAGCTACAATTAGCTGTTCCATGTAATGAATCTAGGTTATATAACTCCTGTGTCTCTATCTTCATCTGTAAAACCTGGATTTTTGGCTAAGGGTCTGAGATCAGTTGAGAGCACACCATCTGTCCAAATAGCTAACGGTTTCCAAGGACAAAGCATAATCCTCATAGCAAGTTAGATTCTGCACCAAAGACATCAGAACAAGTGGATGTTTCTACTTCCCTGAAAGTTTTTGTTTTTACTTATGATTCGTCTACAAAGCCTGTATTTGGTTGCAAGTTCAAAAGCAGTTGAGAGCATTTCCCAGCAATAAAAGCCCTAGGAAATACTCTCAGCCTGTTTTGCACATGTAGCAGACCAATAATTGAAAGGGTTCGGCACCTGCCGATTGCGGCCTTACCCCCGATCATAAATATGTTACAATATGGTATCGGTTCACGTCGCTATCTCGAAATTGTTATAACTCCTCCTTCAAACATATCAATTTTATAGATATAAGTTCAAAGAAAGATTATGGAATTGTTTACACGTTTATCTGGTTTCCCAACCCATAGACGCCAATCCAATGCGATACCTAGTTCGCGTTCGCATCGCCCAATTTCTAATGGAGACAAGTTACATAACTTACTCCAAGTTCGATTGGAAATTGGTTTGTCGTTATTGAATTTCGAAGCGAGAACCAACGCCGCTATAAATGTTCGGCGTGGACACAACAGAGGCGAAGGAAGTGGTTTTACTGAAAAAAAAATTGGTGACTCGATTTGCCTATGCATAAACGTTTCGCTCATAGGTTTCTCGATAACCTCTTCGTTGTCGAAATTCTCGATATCTGCGGTCGTACGATCAATGCGTTCCTGATTTGTGGTATTAAACGATGAATTTTGCGATTGTCTCGTGCCGGAAACCGTATTGTGCGAGAGGAAGTGGTGTTTTTGGTATAAAACATCGGATCGGATGTCGGGACAAGTACGTTTGTCGGCGATATTCAATTCGACACAGATATGATTGTCGTCAGAGGTGAAAATATCTTGCACTTTCAAACGAACAGCTTCCACATAACAAATCGCAGTGAAAAATACCATCGATGGCGTGCTCGATCGCCTGAGCAGTTCAGTAACAAAGTATTCAATAGAAAAGCAATTGGTTGGATCTGTGTGTGGTATTCCACTATTGCTTGTCTTTGAGCTAGGAGCATTCATATAGATGTGAGGTACAACACATGGAGGCCAAGTTTCGTTTAACATCGTTATCAGACGTTCTAAGAAAAGTGAGACAAGTACGAATGAAAAGATAGATGTAGCAATGCTTACTAAACGACTGCTTGAGTTGTTGTCGATGCAGTATATCCAAAGATGTCATTGACAAAGAAACTTAGATGAACCGGATGAAAAACTTTCCAAAAAGTCGCAAAGTATCGACGTTTATCTATCAAAAAAAAAAGAAAGAAAGAAGAAAAAGGAAATGAATTTGCTAGAGACAAAGAGTGAAAAATTTAGTAATTGTTGTCAATCTTCAAACATGCTTAAAACATGATTATTGAACGTACCGTTTAAGAACGATTATTTCGATTCGTTTCGCTAGAGTTAGACTTTGCAGAACATGGCAACAATTCAACTCTGTTCTGCTCGATGCAAGATGTGGCGTGTTGTTTACACATCTAGCTCGAGTCTCGAACGTCGGAGACAACATGTGGCGTGATATGGATCGGAAACTCCCTTCTTAGTGCAAAGTAGGTAATGAAATGGCAAACATCATTTTGTTACGGTTTGATCTCGATATCAGCATTAGGTTTTAGTTGATGGCGTCTCACATTCTCTCACATTCCAGGCCTACAATAGAGCTTATTCGCAGTGCACTACAAAGTCAATCTACGCGGCAAAGATCTCCAATCGTCTTAAAAAGTCAGCAGCTACACTTTATAAGAAATATATATGGAGAGCTCCATCTATTGAATTTTTCAAGAGTATGCTTGGCAGTTTTTTGTCCAAGAAAGGTAGGTCGCCGTGCATTGATATGTATTAAGCTCTGAGATCTGATCTTTGAACATGTCACCGCAGTAATCTGTATCAATGGAAGATGTCATGGGAAGTTTTTGAACTTTTTAGGAAGTGCTGGAATGTCTTTTGCGTAATCTCTAATAAGATAAGATAATGAGACTAGAATTTTGCTCACGACGTCCTTTTTGGTCAGATGCCTCTTTCAACCTCCTCTCACACTCATGCATAATCTTCGTGACAAAAAAGAACTCTTTCTATGTCATTAACATGAAGGAACCAGTTCAAGATTATTTTCAAAAAACGCAACAACCTTCCGTGCTTTGTTTTCCGGAAATTACATGTAAATAGATTTCTCTTGATCGAATGCAATGCTGAAAACTCATTACTCATAGGCCAACACTCCGACGTATGACCAGAAATACACTTTGCCACAAATCCAGATAAGAAAGTTGAGCCCAGGACGGCGCTTTCGGTATGTAAGTTTCATCAACAGGACATGGATAACAAAACTGAATGTTTTCGAGCTCGCTTGAAAATTCCGGGACGATCATCTGCACTATCTGTTCAAATAATACGCACTCAAACGGAATTCAACAACTGGATGACAGGTCCGCTCACCTCTGTCGCTGCATGGATCCTCACCATGTCCGTCTGTACATACACAACCATCTTCCGACATCAATACTTCTCATTAACATGTTATCGTTGCAGCTTCTTCTGGCCGCGTACTATCCTTAAAGATACTGAAGCTATTTGTTTCAGACCGTCGCCTCATTTTCATCCTGCCAGTCTTTCTATCTATCGAGGACTGGCTCGATTTAACACGATATTACGAATGTCGAAAAGAAGTAATGCGTTTGTATAGTGAATATGGTAAAGAGATCGGAAGGCGTAGGCGCTGGTCCAATTTACGAGGCTCAACCATCGGTGAATACATCGTATTCTGTCCCTTGATTACCACAAGATTAATGTCGTTCCCCAGTCGATATCGCAAAAGCCAAAATTTTCAAAGCTACGCAACAAACTCGCGATAAAAGAGGACAACTTTTCATTTTTGTTTTTCGCGATATGATTGCTGGACAAGGTGATCCAAGGACTGAGGTCGTGCGGAAAAAGATTACACATTGGGTGTTTGTCGTTTCGATTCGGATAACAAGCTCACCTTTGCTTCTTGATGCATAAATTTGTCGAAATATTCTTCCTTGAGGAGAGTCTCCTTCTTGCCGAAGATAAGAAACGTCCAGAATTTGCGGGATTGCGACATGACCAACGCAACACGTAGTTCAGTTCTCAATGTTTGTTCGTGAACCAACATTTTAACGGAACGGAGAGTCGTTAGTAGCAAAAGTCACCTCAAACGAAACAGAATCACTTTACTACTTTATTGCCAAAAGCGATCAAGCATTCGGATTCTTCTACAACGGAATTTGACGGTAATTCGTCACTCTATTTCATTCTTGCAGTACTGACTGATGAACTATATAGAGCGAAATCGAAATCAGAGTTTATAGGGTTCAATGTTCAGTCTAAACCTGTGGACGGGTTACAAACCTGTTCTTCTGAAACAAGCACATGTTTTGTACAGCAGTTCGCACAAAGATGAAACAATCCGAAAAAAAAGGAGGAAGGGGCGGAAAACTACTCGATCAGTTAGTAACCTCGCTACTTCTTACGTTACATCTTCTTCTATTTTCCCTATTGTGCACGCCACCATATTATTATAATTTGCATACAATTATGAACAGTGAGTGCTCTATAGCGTCTGGAATTCTGTGTGGATTAAAATCAGGCTGATAAACACGTATGTTTTATAGATTCTTATAATCGTAGCGTACAACGGAACGATATCGCAGAAAGTTATCCCTGACTAAATGAGTAAAAACGGTATCCGAGGTACCTTCTGGTACCTTGCCTTCTTTTGAATTGTGGGTTCATCCATCCTCTCGGTGATCGACAATGATCCGATTTCTTTGTAATGATCTATGACTACAAACAAAATTACCAGGCCTTCAAAGTTGCTAATGACATGTAAGTTTGAATTTCGACGACGAATCATTGGAAGAGTCAAGAACGGTCAAAGCTTATTCGGCGGTCGATTCCTACTTAGTTTGAAAGACCGATTTTAAATATGCGCAGTATCATCGGTCACCCGCCACTGAGTCTCGAAAGCCTCTGCGATCACGACTGAACTTAAATTCACCTCTTTTTTCCCTTACCTCCAAGACGCTGTTATTTCAGCTTGAAAACAAGTACTCCGTTTTGTGGCATTTAGAATAGCGTCTCTTTCTTGCATGCACCAATCTCGATAACAACATCAAACGAAGACTTTCGTTTTGTTACCTCTATCTCATCCATCTCTTGCATTCTACGGACTACAAATCGTTAGCCGTTTCTGTGGAGAAGATTATTCGACCAGAAAACATCAACTGATATTTTCTATCGCGCTGAATGCCGCAGGTGCGTTCCGAAATTTTTATTAAGACCTACCTTTCACTAACGTCGATATATGCTCAGTTATCGACACGTCGTTTGGGATCGTATGATATCGCAGACCGACATCCTTTTTTGGGTACGAGACACGATATCGTAGAGCGAAAATACCACACCGCCTGTGATGGCAAGGGATACATGTACGAAAATCGTCGATACCGTTCTGTTTGGATTTGATATCGTCTATATGAAACAGTTCGGTATACGAATATCCGCTTAACGGACATACGGTTATGATGGATAAGAACAGCGGTTTCATTTTGTGGACCAGCCTATGGAAAGGTATGAACTTCGTCGACGTCAACTGAACATTATCTAAATCTATATCATCAGCGATTGGACTTTGTACTGGTACGCTCTTCATAGTCATCATCGACACGGTCATCGAACACCTCTTGCAGTTGATGTAGTAGGAATACTGAATTCGTACCCAGATCGTTCTCAAGTTATGCGCATCATCAAAGATGGTGTTGAAGCAATTCAGGGCACATGGTTAGCGTATGAGGTGCGAAAGTCATCTCTATGATTCACTGTCTTGCTTCTTACATTGTTTGCAGATCGTTCTGAAGCTGGCGTTGAGGTAGTGATCGTTTCGCAATCTCTTTTCTCTACCGTTGTTTATGTGACAACAGAGGCGCTTGGAACGTCAAGGAAGATCTTATTCCATTATTCGGGTAACGATTAAATTTGAATGATGCTGTTCTCTAGTTAATCTTTTTCCAGAGAGGACTTTGCAACCCGTTGTATTCCACCGTTTTCAACATCTTATTACGAACCTGGTCCTTCCAGTGATCGTCAGCTGAAGTCGGAAACCTTTCTAAACACAATTGACACGACATCACCCATATCAACCCCTCGATTTAGGCATTATGAATTTCCTGAAATTTCCGGACTGCCTCTTCTTCGGCCTGTTTCTCCTACTACAATCATTCGGCCTCAGTTTGGTATTCCAGCATCTCCTTCAGAATCAAACTTGTTGTCAAACAGATACAATCGACGACCAATGCACCGAACTCCTCAATTGCGTTTTGAAGGTTATTTGGATCAAACTGCGCACGATATTCCACCACAACATGAATCGATGTTTCCTATGTCATCGAGGATGATTCCCAGAGATTGGGTCGACTCATCTATGATTGATGACAAACTTCCAATGACGCCCCACAATTCCACTAACAAACGTTCCATTTTACCTCCCATTTCTACATTCGATGATCTCGATCATTTGGAGTTCATTAAATCTATCGACGTCCTTCGTTATTTAGCGGAAGATGATGAGATTGATGATAATTCGCAAGGTACTCTATGGTCATGCTGTTCAACAATTGGTTAATTGTTCATAATTCGTTCATAGAGCATCGAAATTGAGACAGAAAGGGGATCATTCAATCTTTCTATGATTACCACGCCGCGTGAGTACACATCATCTCAAAGTTTGCTTCTCCGATCTATGTTCTAACGACGGTGAAGTGTCCATTGTGCCATGCGGTATTGCTTGATTATTTGGCCGATATATTTGGTTCTCGATCTCACTGTCTCTCGAGTCCTTCAACAACTTGTCCGAAATGTATGTATTAATTTCGATGAATGTATGGCGTATCAACACGTCGTTTCTGTTATCTAGACACAGTATCATTCTTCTTGCGGATGTCTTCGTTCTGTGTACTTCCTTGGTTGGTGAATTATGTCATCCTCTACCAAATTCCTTTTCGCTAAAGATTAGGTTGTGTGTCCTTTTTTTTTTTGTTTTTTTTTGCGCATTGATCATTGATTGTTGATGTTCATTCAGTACGTTGGTTGGTTTGTTCTGTGATTATCTATGTACATATCAGGATCGTTTTTTTGAATGGAAGCTAGGATTGGGAACTAGAGTGAGAAAACACTCTGGACTGTTAGTGAAGGAACCTACGTACTAAAACGTTAAGCAACATGCGTTCATTCTTCATCGGTAAGATGAATCCTTTACCATTAGCCTTGATGGAAGCTTCAAACCCGGTTGCAGATTGTCCAATGGACAGACAAAAGTTTGAACGGTGCAAGAAGGATACTGAAGCGGTGTGGTACCATCGATGATCACTAAAAGGCAATTAGAATAAAGACATCATAGATTCATCTGATGTCTTACTATTACGCCACATCCGAGCAGTTGCACAAACGACTTCTCGTTTATTTTCTCGATGGTTGACAATAGCACGCCGTTGAGACTCACAACGTTCAACGGTAGTGATTCTTTCGCTACATTGTGATCGGTGTCTGACACGGGGATGAAAACGTTTGGGTCGTCCACAACAACCTGAAACTTCTACTGCGAAACCTATGAAGAAACAATCAGTACCGGAAGTTGTTACATTTCGGCAGAGAGCGTAGTCCAGCGTTGTCGATCTGTGGATTCCAAATCTAAATCCAGGAAGAACCCATAATCTTCCTCTTAAGAACGAGTAGTTGAAAGGCGGATTAGTTCAAACGTGGAGGTGTTGGTCCCATATATCTTGGCAATATTAGGGCTTCGAGCGTCGTGAGGTATTTGCATGTCTGTAAATCAAATTCAGGGTCAGTACTGAAGAAGCGAAAAGCAAATAGTTTTACCAGCGAAGTGGGATGCGACTTTTATCAATGTAGTTTTCTTTTCGGAATGTTTGGATCCCCGAACACGAATTGGCGTTCGACAAATTTGCCGTTGAACTTCTTGACGTCCCGTTTGGACCGTATAGCATCAAAGCTTCTGTAAACATCTGTCAGCTTAGACACTTCATCGGTGTCATACCACCCTTCGGCTTCCCCTTGCTCCGCGCTTTTTTTCGCGCGAAAGAATGAAAAGGGTTCGTTCCAAGTTCTTCTCGGCAACACAACATAAAACCCAGGCACTAGGATTTTTATCTTGAGCTTTCCTATGAAGAAAAGCTCACCTTGGTGTTCGAGATAATCGATCTAGAAGAACCTCAACGAGCCGTCAGGCTTGAACGCAAATACGTCGAAAGACTTTATTGACAAAGTATTAGTGGCCAGAGGTCCAAAAAGGTCTTCGGAAGACACGATAAGTGAATCGTATACCGCAAGCCACAACACGGGTTTCTTCTCATCCAGGTGTTCCACTTCCGAGATTTCCTCAGGAACAGACGCGGCCGGTTTCATATCAACATCATGTACTACTGCCATGAACGCGTCCATATCGATATCGTCAAATGAATCGTCACCTGGAAAGTGGTCTTCGTCTGTCTTCATATCGATCTGAGTCAAGCGTTCTGTCATGGGAAGGAGGCGTTCGGGTTCTGTCTTAACGCGTTTCTGCCGACTTGAGAACAAGACCTCGCCAGAAGGAGCTCCATAAAAGTCATCTCGCCCATCTGATGAGCCGTCTGCAGAGGATGGTCTTTTCTGGTATGGCGCTTGGGATGAATTTGTGAAAGTGTCATATTTCAGACATGTCTTTCCGTTCGCGTGACTTGGTAAGAAATAATCATTAATTGGCAGGGCATCGAGTTCTCCAAAGAAATTCAACATGAAATCGTTCTCTTAATCAGCTGCGACCTTCTTTCGATAGTCATTGAAGGTTGGCGCTCCTAGAGGTCCAAGAACTTTGGCGTTGGTTTTTGATTTCTCTTTCGAATTGTTGTTAGCTGTGATAGATTTAAGTCGAGCTTTTGACTAGTAAGCAGAAGTATGACATATATTTCTTATTCTTAGTTTCTTCCGTTTCCTCGTCCGAATCGTGATATCCCTCATGTTTATTAAACCAGTCGTCCATCCCATTATCCGCTTATTCATGTACACCATCATCTTCGACAAAGTCGTGTCGTTGAAGCCTCCCATTTATAATCCTCTTATATCCCTCGTCTGAAACTTCGGTGTATATTGTTGCATCTGCTTCCTGCTGCGAATAAAGTCAGCTACAACTTGATATCTCAATAAAACACGTCTCACTTGCATTCACGGCGCTCTCCTTGCCTACCGAGTTTGAACACTTCCAGAGTGACAAATTTTCCGTTCTTGGGGCTCATAAATATTGGCGCAGATGTAGTACGCTGGAGATGGGAGGAAACTCTGAAGTCACACCTCGGTAACAGCACGTGCATCTCAGGTACCTCCGTGAGCCAAATATTTGACAATCTATCGTCTGCACTCGCGATATTTCTGCATATACCACCTGCATCGCAACACTATTCCGGCTTGTCCTACTTGATCTATATGCTCGATGGATAACAAACTCAAAAGATCTTGAAAAGAGGCTAATAGCATTATGTCTGCTAATTGAAGTTCACGAGGGAACTATTTCGGTATGTCCTATCTCACCTACAGGCTCAAATCAATTTTGTAACAATTTTCAAGCATTCTATATCGTATGCTACACAACCCCTTGCTTGCAAAAGGACCCGTTTTTCTCGTTTGATCCTTAACATCTCTACGTCAAATAGCATCTGGAAGCACCTTGGACGCCGCGTCACGTCTTTTAGCCATCAGGTGTTATGCTCTCCAAAGTGGGATCAGAGAAGCAGGACGCGACAAGTGCGAGACGACGACAGTAGGTGAACTGTACACTGTGAACTGTACACTCGGCTACGGGTTCGCCTTGGATGGCTCCCACTTGATAATAGATGGTTGGCTCATGCCAATCACAAAATTAGAACGCGTCCGGTCAGCTACAAATGCCATTGCGATAGAATCGCAAGATTTTGCTCTGATACAGAAATCGTTCAAGAACAGATACAACTCTTTGACTTATGGTAAGCCTGCTTCAAATGCATTTGAATGTATCCGAAATCAATGATATGCGTCTCAGTCCGCTCGTCATGAATTTACACGAAGTTGTATTAGTGCGATCTTCTGTAACTGAGAACATATCATCTCCTCTCATTCCTACGCCGATAGCAGCAAAGGTTACCCGATCACTTGCCCTGCATCTCTCAACATGCTTGCCAATACTCGTTACCTCTGCCCCATCATCCGGGAAGACGTTGCTTCTTTCTCATCTGGCGGAAACTCTGTTTCCTCATGTCCAAAACCAGTTACTATTCATTCACCTTGCAGACACATCACCCGATCCTCGCTCTCTCCTTGGTTCACACGTCTCATCACCAAGTCAGCCAGGAACCTTCGAACGGAAGGAAGGTACACTAGCCCGAGCAACGCGGGAAGGAAAGTGGGTTGTGTTCAAGAAGATCGACCGAGGCAGTAATGAGGTCCTGGCTTTGATCAAGCCGTTCATTGCGAGACTTGGATTGGATAAATGGACAGGAGCACGTGCATCATTAGAAGTCGCAGGTGGAGGCGAAGTGGTGGCTGCGGATACATTCGCAATCTTTGCAACCCGCCCTACTTTATCTTCTCGAAACGGTACCTTCACTACCCCCACATTCTATGGAGCACATAAGCTGCACGAGGTGGTCGACGCGTCGCCTACAACAGAAGAATTAACGTTGATTGTCCAATCGCGTTACCCTCGTTTATCAAGTCAAGCCACGAGTGGCCTGATCCGCCTTTGGCAAGCAGTCAAGGAACTCGGAACCACAGTGTCCACAAGGGATGTCGGTGTACGAGAAGTGGAAAAGTTTTATGTACGGGTGGAGCAGCTTATATCGTCCTATCCGGACGATGGTTCTTCCACGTCCGATGAGGATCTCCCATTATATTCCATCTTCCCGACCACTTCATTCCACGAAGAGATATTTCTTCTAGCCCGGGACGTGTTCTTCGGTTCCGGTGTAACTGCTTCTGCCTGAGCCGACACAGGATTGATTACTCACATTGTCGGCTCATATCTAGGATTGGAACAAGAATGCCAAGAGTAGCTACTTTCGCGATGGATGCCCGATTTCAACGTAGAGACAGACAGGGATGGTCGGCGCACCGCTCTTAGTGTTGGCCGCACTTGATTACTGGCGAAATCGTTGAAGCGTGAAATTGGATCTTCTCCCCCTCGGCCGTTCGCTATGCATCGGCCAGCCATTCTTCTCATGTCCCGTATTGTGAACGCTATCGCTCTCAACGAACCTGTGCTCCTTACCAGAGATACAAGGACTGGGAAGACTAGTGTCATAACTCATCTGGCCCATATCTTACATCAACCTCTCATTTCCGTGAATCTATCTAAAAAAACGGAATCATCTGTCTTGATTGGTGGGTTCCGGTCCTTGGATGCGCGGATACCTGCCTTATCTTTACAGTCAAAATTTCTGCATCTGTTTAGAGAGAAGTTCAACCGTAGAAGGAATGAAAGATTTGAGGCGGACGTGCGGAAATCTGTCGCACAGGGGAAATGGAAAAGAGCAGTGGAGCTATGGAGGGAAAGCATGAAATTGACAAAAGATAGGATAATCAAGAAGCACTGTAGTGATCTGGAGTAAGTTTTTGTCGTCGTTGATAAAATTTTTCCCACTTTTTCAGGGGAGAACTCGATTCACAGACTTCAAGAAAATGGCGTAAACTACATTCATCTTCGTAGGGTACTTCGAAAGCTAAACGTCACGCCTTTGAGCGCGACGTTGACGAGTTCAGTGTGCAGTATGTGAGCGGCAAGGGAAGGCTTGCTGTTGATTTTGTCGAGGGCCTGTTAGTTCAAGCGTTGCGCGAAGGCGAATGGTCTGTAGTGAATTGCACTTATTTTATCTTGTTACATACTAACTTTTCGTAGGATCCTTCTTGACGAGGTTAATTTAGCTACTGCAGAGACTCCTGAGTGCATCGCTAATCTGCTTCGTAAACCGACTGTCTCTATCACTCTGACCGAACAAGAATCACTGGAGCCGGTACCTCGACATCCCATCTTCCACCTCTTTGCGTGCATGAACCCCGCTACTGAGGTTGACAAGAATGATGTTCCTCCTAATATCCGCCCTCGGTTTACCAAAATCAATGTCCCACCTCCTGATGCGGTTCGCGAAACACTGATTGCTGCACAATATATTGGCTTCAGTGAAGTCAGCGACAAAGTTTCCATCATGGATGTTTGGGAATTATACATCGCAGTTAAACACTTGGCTGAAACTTGCGAGATTGCAGATCGAGCCAATCATCGTTCTCAGTTGAGTATGCGTACACTTGCTCGCGTAATGACTTTTGCATTCGACATTGCAAGCACCTACGGACTTCAGAGAGTTCTGTGGGAAGGGTGCCTCATGGAATTCACCATGTTTCGCGATATACCAAGTTCCGAGAAAGTCTTTTCTTTGGCCGAAAAGCATCTGTTAGCTGGAATTAAAAATGTGCGTTCTGCATTACCCAACAAACCTACTTTACCTCCATGTTGTGCACCACAGAACTTTGTCAAGCTGGGCCCTTTCTTGGAACATGGACTTGTACCTCTAGATCCTGCCGACGACTACATTTCGGCACCGTCAACAGAGAAGAAACTAATCGTTCTTGCTCGAATCATTTTCACTCGACGCTTCCCTGTCCCCATTGAGGTACCTACTTCCAGTGGGAAAACTAGTTCAATAGAATACCTCGCTAAAAGAACCGGACGTCGCTTCATTCCTATCAACAACCACGAACAGACTGATATACAACAATACATTGGTTCCTACGTTCTGCAACCCGTCCCCGGGGAACTGGCATTCACTGATGGTTTGCTCATCCGTGCCTTACAAAGTGGCGACTGGATCGTACTGGACGAGGTCAACCTCGCCCGAACGGATGTCCTCGAAGCTTTGAATAGACTGCTCGATGACAATCAGGAGTTAGTTATACCGGAGACAGCAGAAACTGTCAGACCCCTCCCACATTTCGTGTTGTTCGCTGCGCAAAATCCATCAGGCCTATATGCAGGAACAAAGGTGTTGTCTCGTGCGTCCCGCAATCGTTTTCTGGAAGTTCACTTCCAAGACGTCCTTGAAGCTGAGCTGGAGATTATTCTTTGCCAGCGATGTATGATCGCAATTTTGTACGGAGAGAAGTTTGTCACAGCATTTCGCGAATTGGACAAACGAAGGCAAACTGATCGTGGTTTTGAAAGCAAGCAGAGCTTTGCCAGACTTCGAGATTTGTTCCGTTGAGTCGGTAGAGATGCCGTTGGCTATCAAGGATTAGTCGAAAATTATTACATGCTCCTAACAGAGCGTGCTCGCAGAGATGAAGACAAAATTATCGTCAAAGTGGTCATAGAATCCACTATGGAAGTTAAAATCAATGAACGGATGCTGTACGATTTCTAGAGTCGTGCACCAGACTTTGCTCAGTTTCTCGATTGTGATCCTTCAAGTGCATCTCTCATTTGGACCAAAGCTATGCAAAGACTTTTTGTCGTTGTCGCTCGTGCCGTTCGTTTCAATGAACCGATTCTCCTCGTCGGCGAAACTGGGTCAGGGAAGACCTCTGTTCGTCAGGTGTATGCGGACATTAGATCTAGAAGGCTCCATGGCCTCAACTGTCATCAGAACACGGAGACGGCAGATCTCATTGGTGGTTTGGGTCTCACAGGAGATCGTGCTTCGTTGGAAGCTGACGCTTTACGGAAAACAGGAGTACTATCATCTAAGATAGGCTCAGAACTGGACTCTCACCATGTAGCGACTTTGCAATCACAATCAGATATGCTCCTGAAATCCACTACTCTAACTTCTCCTACTCGCAACGCCCTGGAGAAGCTTCAAACGAGGCTATGCGTAACCGGGATGTCTTGGTGGACTAGATTTCTCTTGCTGATGATTCCGTACTGGAACGCTTCAACAGCGTCCTAGAACCATCACGCACTCTAGTGTTAGCTGAAAAGGCAGCTGATCATCTTCACCATTATTCGTCTCTTGTTGCACACGAATTCAAGCTCGTGGCTACAATGAATCCCGGTGGTGATTACTAGAAAAAGGAATTGTTTCCTGCTCTTCGTAATCCGTTCATCGAAATATGGGTCCCTTCCATGGATGATCCAGCTGATCTACATATGATCATAAGTTGTTGGTGAAAACATAAAAGTTTCCAGCGATATACGACCGCAGTGCTGGATTTCGTGCTATGGCTTTCTGAAAATGCCGAAGATACTTCGTTCTTGAATCTCACGGATATACTGGTGCGTTCTTCTAGATTACGAAAGGGTACATACCTCTGAGTCGTCTGTTTCAGGCCTGGGTATCATTTTTGAACGTGATGTGTGAAGGAGGATGAAGGAAAATGCTCCTAGAGGAAATTTTCGTGAGTAGAATGTATTTATTAGCGAAGGCGTATCCATTTATTAATGAAATGTCCTCAGCACCATGCTGCCCATATGACTTACCTAAATGGTCTTGAGTCGACCGCGTCACTTTCCTCCTTATCAGAAACATTACTGTGACAAATGAAGCTAGCCGCTGTTGCTCGTCTCAATGAACTTGTTCCTTGTTCCACTTCCAATCCGTTCAAACCTCAACATTATCCGTCCATCTCCTACCTATTAGCTCCGTTTGTTATTCCAAGAGGGTCCAAGCTGGTGCAGCATTATACGTTTAGCTTTAAGGTGCCTACTACTCAGGCAAATGCTATCCGTGTTGTTAGAGCTTGTCAGCTCGTTAAACAAATTCTATTAGAAGCTAGCCCTGCATTGGGAAAACTAGCTTGATCACTGCGTTGGCACAAGTTTCACGCCACGAGCTTTGTCGTATAAACTTGTCTGATCAAAGTGATCTAATTGACCTGTTTGGCTGTGACCTTCCTGTTGACAGTGGTAAGGCTGGAGAGCCTGCTTGGAAAGATCGTGAGTTTTTGAGGGCTCTACAGGAAGGATGGTGGGTCCTCTTGGATGACATGAATCTTGCCTCCCAGGCTGTTCTTGAAGGGCTCAATGCTGTCATCTGTCTACATTCCGGAGCTAGATAGAACATTCATCAAGCATCCGGCTTTTGGCATCTTTGCAGCTCAAAATCCTCTTAGTCAACGAGGGGGTCGTAAGGATCTACTCAAGTATTTTGTGAACAGATTTACAAAAGTCTATGTTGATCAGTTATTACCATCTGATTTGCGTCTGGTATGCCAATATTTGCATCCCGAAGTCGACACAAAACTCCTCGAACCTATAACCGCCTTCAATACCTCTTTACAGCATATGGTTCTTATTGAACGCTCTTTACGGAAAGAAGGAGAACCATACGAATTCAAGCTGCGGGACGTTCTTCGTTGGATTGGACTACTTAAGCGCCGGTCGGAACGGCGACTTCTCCCAGTTGACCATGTCCGGACTGTTTACTCTCACTGTCTTCGTACCTCGAGCGATCATCATTTGGCGCTAGCGTTATTCGAGCGCACCTTCGGCTGTTCTTTCGATTATTCCCGCAATTCGTACGGACGGTATTCAATTGTACAATAACTGTAGGTCAATTTCGCAGCGAACGACACAATTCATCTACACCTGCCCGCCCTAAGCGTCTACTGAAATCACAATTTTCTTCTTTAAAGGCTTTAAGCTACGCCATTTCGAATTCGAACCTCTGTATTGCTTCTGGCGCTCGAGATTCTAGAAAGACAGCCGTGGTGGAAACAATAGCGGTCTTGAATGGCTAAATCCTTTGCTTCCTCTGATAAGCGTATGCAACGGACGATGGTAGCCATCGACATTTTATTGAAAGAGGCCTACGGTGTTGGCACTTTGAGTTCAGAGTTGGTTTCCAGTCTTGTAAGTTTTATGTATAAGACTTCGAACGTATTTAACTTCAGCCCAGGATTCGCAGACGTTGCCTCTGATGCGAGAGCTCATAGATCGTACTCAATATTTGAGTGAGATCGTGTCACGACGGGTGGTCGATTATTCGGCCTTGCAATCCCTGTCTGATCAAGTCATTATTGTTTCGGAAAAGCTTCCTGTTGTTTTTGATACTCTGAAAGGCCGTTCGATGGATTTGAAGGAGGTTACGATGCTATCTTCGGTCTGGGAATCTACTAAATCTGGTCGACGCTCCGGGACAATACGTTTGCAACACCGGAAATGTTGCGTCTCGAGCGACTCACCGTTCAAATCGACGGCCCACCTAGTACGGCAGTCGCTGCTTCTTGCGGAATGCCAATGTTTACATGTTCTACAGACCTCCGAAAACAGGTACTGAACTTGACGGCAATGGCTTCTATCTTTCGTTCATCGCAGCACGACATTGAAACTCGTAGTATCACCGATCTCCTTCCTTTGGAGGATCCGTTGCACTTTCACTGCTTAGTCCACTGTCCATAATCCTGTGCGGACATTGGGACCCTAATCGAAACAGTCAACAACCTCCCCTCAGACTACCAAGGAAGATTCAATGTCGATGCTGTCATAAACACCTCTGATCTGATTATCATAAACCGTGACGTTGTCGTTCCTCTGCGCTCTTCTCAACCCAGAACCTTCCATGGACAAAGCAGCAGAGATCGCAGTTCATTTGATGTACTTCGCCCGCTATCTTCAACATTGTCTTGACGATGTTTACGGAAGCCAATACGATGGTCACAGCGGCGACTTTTCCTTTCGAACGTTGTTGAATACACGGGGTGAAGGAAAAGATTGTTCGCTGCAGACTGTCACCGGAGTTAGATCGCCCACTACAAATGTTTATGTCGACGTATAATTTGGCTATAATGCTCAAGAATCGTTAGAAGGTGCTTACTGCTCCTAAGAACGTAGACACCTGGGATCAATTTCTTTCGAGAGCGAAGCCCGAGCATCGGATGACCTTCAAACGGTTTTCAGAGACTGTCGCACTGGCTCCGTCTGCAGCTGATACGAGCAAGGTCACTATCCACATCGGTATATTCATGTTTCGCGCTCAAGTAATAGTATTTGACTTTGTACTCCTTATTCCAGTTTCATGTTTTCATCCCAAGGCACTTGGCTAGACAAAAGTAACTTCAATCCTGTCCAAAACCGGGAGGCCACCTTGATCCAAGAATCCGGAGCTAAAATCGCCATGATAGCATCCATCGACATCTTTGGATGTCTATCTTTTTTCTCAAAGCCCAATTTCGCGGTTTCGCATACCAAGTCAAGAATCTTAACGTCAACTTCATCCTGAACCAATTTGACCCCCAGAACCTTGCCACGGGCATTTCGATGGGCGTTGTACCGATTTTCGAAGGCGAATGTTTTGATAGGGTCAATACGAAGGTTACGATGAATCATGGTTGGAATTGAAAAATGTTTGGCCGAATGGGATCCTCTGTTAAATCGTGAAAACCGGTTTGCGTTCCTGTCAATGCATTCGAGAACCTGACATTCTGAACGACCGTATGCTCTGGCGCGATGTAATCCCCATGCAGCATTGATGTTGTTCATGACAAATGCTTCAAGATTGTTACACTAGTAAGTATCAAACCATGTACAGGAAGACCCATTGAAGAAAGTACTCGTCTTAATAGGGGTACTCGTGCCGGATGCAGCCGCTCGTAATTTAGAAGAAACTGTGGCTGGTTCATCTTCCAGCAAGAGGTTGAAGAGTCGTATGGCTATGTTCTGCACTAATTCTGTCCATATAGCCACACCGTCGTTGCTCATTACGTCCACCTAATCAGTCATAACTTACACATTTTCTGTTATCCACGCATCCGATGCTATTTCCGCTATGAAATAGGAGTTCTCGCCCATTCATTCAATGCTTCTGCTCTCGAAGTTCCGAAGCTCCTCGGAAAAGTAAAATCATACTGAGAAAGAATGTTGACCCCGTAATGGACACTGCCGACCTCGATAACGGCATGAGTGATATTGCCGAAGAAACTTTGGGTGCGTATCATTCAACGATTTTCTGGGATAAGTTGATCGAATGTTTCGAACTACTCTGATTTTTTATTTATATTCGGTACAGTTTCAGTCGTATTCGATAGTTCACTGTTGAAGAACAGAGAGCACGGACGAATCAGAGACACTCACTGCATTCAGAAAATTTCTCACTGCGAGCCAAGGATATTTGACTTCGTCCGACATAACAAGGACACGGAACCACGACGGATCTTTCGAAACAGATGGTATATGACTGAGAAAAGAAAGAAGAAGTTGCTTTTTACTCCACTGTGTTCGAATCGGTCCTTAATTATAACCAAATCGAAGTCTGTTCTTGCTATATCGTTATAACTTCCCGCAACTGATTTTCATGCGTCGTTAGGTTAGATATAATCTTTTCGCTTAATGTATTTCAGCGTTGTCAAAATTCAAATGACTTTGAGGAATACCATCGTCCATGTCGTGTGTCCTGTCTACTGCCAGTGAAGGTAAAGGGGCTGAAAAGTAGAAGCCATGTTATGCCATTTCCATATGGAATGGAACGCGTTGAGTACATGATAATTGAACTGCGTTCATCAGGACCAGTTCTTCCTCTACTGGTCATTCACGAATATCATCCTTCAAAATCACTTTGAATGTGCACTGAGTAGGGATGTCTGCATCATTCGGTCAGATGAACATATCTGAATTCAAATATAGACTGTTAAATACTCTTGAATTCGCAGAGCCGGTGCTGAGTCTTTGGAATGGAACACAGGATGATAACAATTGGCCCTGCTTAATAAGAAATATCAATGATGCAACGTCTGCTACCTCCAAAACCGATTCATCATCTACTTCATCTAGCAATTCGACGATGTTCGACGGCAATTCTAGCTGTGATTTCCCCCCCGATACGGTTTCGAGTTGTACTTCGACGACTGATACCAATTCTTGATCCGAACATCTACAACAAGAAGTGAGGGGGATCGTACATCGTCTACGTTGTCTCCGTCAGCTTCAGACTCTGCTTCTGCCAATCCAAAGTCAAACTCGCGTTCGACAGATGACAATAAGCCTACTACTAGCAGTGCTAAGTCGTCAACCAAATTGACTTCGGTGACGCTGTCGTACCGAGCAAAAGGAAGCCATGTGGTCAAAGCTGCCAAAGCTATTTGATTCGTGCTAGTCTAGGGGTCATATTTATACGACAGTAGCGCTGAGTGGGTTTTTTTTTGTTGATACGGTTCCATAACGTCTTTCCCAAGACTGCAACTATACACTATATGTACAACGCCATATTATTTTTTATTTACATGACAATTATCGACATACAATACACTGCCAGCATGTCTTGACCGTCACGGCCTTTGTTGTCAAAACCCTCCAAAGTTTACGTTCTACTTTCCAAGTGCACTGGCTTTTTGTTAAAAAGAGAGAGCTACCACCTTGAATTAAAAGGGTATTCCCGCTTGCTTTATGAACCGTCACATTAACACGTTGTCTTTGGCAGAATATAGAGACCGAACAACATATTTTTCCATCGGCGAGGTATAACTTTCAGATGATGTCGTTCGTTCCTTGCAATTTTTGCGCTCCCATAGGCCACACCGATTACAGAGCTTAAAGGATAGGAAAGTGTTATTGGTTTGAATACTGAACACAAAGATCATTAACGACGTACATGGTTGCCAGGATGTAGTTTCGATCTTCGCCATGCAACGGTGTTGGTAGTTCCACAAGCAGAGCATGTTCTCGACAGTGATGATTTTTTTCCGGTACTGGGTGTGATAACCAGAGGTGAGGATCGATATAAAGAATATTTTTTTGTCATTCCGTGAGAGAGAGTCGACAAAGTACCATTAGACGAAGGATATTCGCGGGCTCGTACCATGGAACTCGCTGGTTGCTCCAAATCGATGTGGTCCTCGTTTCTAACCCTGCGAACATTGAAAAAATGACATGATGGCTTCGATAGGAGATTATCAAATACAACACGTACCGTAAATTATTGAAATTAGAGATATCTCCTGTGGGGGCGAAAACCTCGTTTCGATGACTCCCTCCATGAAATTGCCCACAACCGAAATCGAAGAAACGATCGGTAGCTGAAGGCGTTCCAATATCGTGCTACCGAATTGGAATAATAATTAGTATATATCATCGTCAAAAAAAAGAAAGAAAAAAAAAACACGACTTGCAGAGTTGGGAATGTTGTTCCGCTCGATGGGACCGCAACAATTGTCTGGGATGAAAACATCAGTGTTGATCCAGGAAGCTTTTTGACAACGCACTGTATAAGTTCCCCGACCGTTTGTTCTCCAGGAGGTTTGGGTTCCACGAGTATTGGTCAAATTCGTTTCGACAAGGGTTACCCAGACGAGTAGGAAGATGGGAAAGAGGCATATTGCCACTGGAAGAAAAATCTGATGGTGACCCATCGTTATTCAAAGTAGAAATAGGATTCAGAAGTGAAGATATAGAACATTTGTTTGGCATGTTGTTCTTGTACACCATGACTCGGCCTGTGCTGTCGATTGACGTTCAATTTTAGTTACGAAAGACAACGATGTCCTGGTTCAATGACGCAATATTTCAACAGCAACCGATCGATTGAATAGCTTTTAATGTAAATCAACGGAGCTTGTTCTCTAATAAACTCCGTAAACACTTACTCGGAAACCGCTGATCAAAATTGTGATTCGCAATCAACAAATTGCAGAAGAAAGGATGCGCGGGGATCAGAGAAACAGACCTCAAATAATTAGAGAGCATCGCTTATATTGTCTTTGTAAGGGCCCAGTCAAGGATTATGCCCGTGTTTTATTTCAATATAAGGGCAGTCTTGAGAATCCAATCCGACAGCATTGGCATTCCATGTGCTCCAGCTCATCACAGTTGAATGGTGAATAATTCTTGCTCACCTTACCCCAATCGGGCCCTAGCTAGCTAACCAGCCAACTCCTTTATATCTGCTGGGGACACATCCATCTGCAAAACCTGTATGTTCGGCTAAATAGCCGAAAGCAGCTCAGAGCACTTGGGAGCACTTCCCAGCAGCGAAAGCACCCAGAGCAGGCTTTGATTTTTGCTTTGGGTGCTTTCGTCGCTGGAGAGCGCTCTCCAGCCAGTATCCTTGCTGTGGCGAGTATACATGTTTTGCAGATGTCAGTGGCTATCATTTCTGCACATATACACCTCCCTCTTTCTTGAGTTATGTCAAGTCCATGCCTCGGGGCTCCATTCCGCCGCTCGGGATTCCAAAGTGTCTGAAAAGGAATTAGTCGCCCTTAAAGACTTTATTGACAAACAGCTGACTACTGGTGCCTTCACCCCATCTTCCTTGCCTCATGGTGCTCCGGTATTCTTCGTTCCCAATAACAATGAGAACCTTCGACTTTGCGTGCACTTCTGCGGTCTCAACTGCATCATCAAGAAGGATTGCTATCACCTGCCATTGACCTCGGATCTCCTTGACGCTCCCAAATGAGCTACAATCTATACCAAATTGAGATCTCACTCACACTTATCATATAGTTGGAATTGCAGAAGGTAACAAATGGAAAACCACCTTTCAGATGCAATACGGCTCCTCTTACGAACGGAAAGTTATGCGTTTCGGCCTTAGTAATGCACCTGCTGCTTTTCAACGTTTTGTTAACGGCATGTTCTCAGACGTGCTAGATGTGTATGTCATTGTCTATCTCAACGACATTCTGATGTACTGCAATACACCGGAAGAACACTGGGAACACGTCAAGGATCTTCAGCAGTTACAGGAACATCGGCTTTATGCCAATCCTGACGAGTGCGAATTAAATATGGATACCATTGAGTATTTAGGTTATATTCTTTCTCCTGATGGATTGACCATGTCCAAAGAGAAAGTACAGACCATTCTGGAATGGCCTGTTCCTAGGAAGGTTAAGGACATTCAGTCCATTCTGGGTTTTGCAAACTTCTATCATTGTTTTCTTTATAATTATAGTGATATTGTTGTGCCAATGACTTGGCTTACCCAGAAGGGCACTCCCTGGATCTGGGGCAATGACTGTCAAGAAGCTTTTGAAAACCTCAAAATTGCTTTCTCTTCTGCCCCTATTCTTGCTCACTGGGAAACCAATTGTCCTGTCATTGTCGAAACTGATGCTTCTGACTATGCCATTGCGACGATTCTCTCCATGCAGACTGTTGAAGGTAAAATTCACCCTCTAGCCTTCCTCTCCAGAACTGTTCACGCTGCGGAGCTCAACTACAATACTCACCATAAAGAGCTTCTCACCATCTTTGAAGCCTTCAAAGCTTGGCGCCATTATTTGGAAGGTTCGGGTGATCTGGTGAACGTCATCACCAATCATAAAAATCTTGACTACTTCTCTACTACCAAGATTCTCACCTGCCGACAGGTCCGTTGGTCAGAGTATCTCCACCAATTCAACAAGGTTATTTGCTTCGGATTGGGGAAGCTTGGCAAAAAACCCAATTCAATAATTAGATGCTGCAATATCTATTTAAAAGAGGGGGATATTGTCTACATGCAAACCATCACAACTTCCGACCTATCTTCACTAATGAGCAACTGACTACTTCTCTTCAAGCTACCTCCTTAGAAGGCTCAATACTCCGAGCCTCTATTGTTATGGATCTCAAGGCTTTGCATCAAGCTATTATTGTCGCTCTTCCAAAGGACCCGAGCTCCGTTGTTGGTTTGGAACTTGCCAAAGATCCTTTCAATAAATGTTGGAGCTTAGGTAGTAATGGGTGATTATGCCTTGATGACCATATTTATGTTCCGAATCACAGCGACCTTTGCCTTCAAGTGCTCCCCTACTTTCATGATTATCCACTCTCAGGCCATTTTGGCCAGAACTGAACTCTAGAGTCAGTACCTCGTCAATACACCTTGCCCAAGGTCAGGGACTTTGGTTGTGACTACGTTAATTCCTGCATCTTCTGTGGTCGCAATAAGCCTCAGGTCTTACAGCTTGTTAAAACCTTTGCCAATTCCGGTCCGACCATGGGATTTGATCTGCATGGACTTCATTGAGCAACTGCCAATGTTGAATGGTTACACAGCTGTCTGTAAGACCTGGGTCAGAATTGGTCTTAAGGTTGGGTTTGGTATGAGGACTTATGATGTAGTGTGCTAAGAGCCAGCTGGAGCTTGAAGGGAGCTATGGGAATTGCGACCGAGGACAGTAAAGACCTAGTAGTGATTGTGATTGTGAGAAATGACCCTAGGAGAGGTTTGGAGAAGGTCCAGGGAGGTCCCTAGGACATAACGAGGGAAGGTAGAACTAACAGGAACCTGTAGATGTAAAAGCGCTGTGTAGTATGAGTTGTACTAGCTAGGAATGTCAACATAGGATTATTGTAGGTTGTATTTGATGTTGGTCTTGGACATGTGAGCTCTCAATAAGGTATAAGCCACGGAAGGAGATTCCGGCAAGTGGGAGTAGCGGCGCAGTTCCTCAAGTGGTGGAGGTAATAACAGTGAAGCGGTACACACTTTGATGTAAGGGATAGTTTCAACGTTACCTTGATCAAGGTCTCAGAGCTTGTAGAGCAGTTGGGGAGCTCAAGGTGGTTTGGGGAAGGTCAACTCACCAAAACGGTAGACGTTTGGGAGCTTTAGTATTGGTCAAGGGAACTTGGAGACTCGCTTAGGTTGCTTAAACGTGGAGTAAAAGTGTGTATTGCATCATTTACACGATCGTACAGACAAAAGATAATAGTAGAGAAATTGAGAGTAAAGAGAAATCTATATGGTTAGCAGGTACAAAGGGACAGGGACTGGACCTATGCAAAAGGGTGTAAGACCTGGGTCAGAATAGGTCTTAGGGTAGGTTTTGGTATATGAAGGTTTATGTTGTAGCGTTCTAGGAGCAGGCTGAAGCTTGAAGGGAGCTACGAGAACCGCAACCGAGGACGGGAATGACCTGGTAGTGGATGGAACGACGAGATGATGACCCTTGAGGGGGTTCCTAAGAGGTCGAGGGAGGTCCCTAAGGCGTAGGGAGGTTAAGTAAGAGTGCAGGACCATACGATATTGCGTAGTAGGAGTTGTACTCGCTAGAATATCAATATAGGATCAAGTAGGTTGTAGATGTAAATGGGTCTCAAGGGTGTAAGCTCCCGAGAAGGTATATGCCAGGGAAAGTAGGTCCCTGGGGACTGGGCTTGAGGATGGACGTCCTCGAGTGTGGTAGGTGGTAACGGAGAAGCGATACGTAGTTCGATGTAAGAGGTAGCTTTGACATTACTTAGATTAAGGTCCCAAAGCTTACAAAGTAGCTAGGGAGCTCTGGGAGGTTTGGGGAAGGGTAGCTCACCAAGCATTGAGGCGTTGGGGAGCTTTAGTAATGTTCGAGGGAGCTCGGAGACTCACTCAGAAGGCTTAGACTTGAAGTAAAAGCGTATATTCGATCGTATAGACGATCAGAGAGACAATAGACAAGAGTAAAGAGAAACACAGGTAGAGAAACAGAGAGTAAAGAGAATTCCGTATAGGTAGCAGGTACAAAGGGACAGGGACTGGACCTATGTAAAGGGTGTGTGTTCAAAATATACCAAGCTGGGGCTTGGGGACGTTACGGAGCTACTTAAATAGGTATGGGAAGTGAACAAAGGAACATCAGAGTCTAGGGGACATGAGGCAGGTAATTGAGGGAGACAGGTGATCGAGATTTGTACTTAATGGAGCTGGTGCTATCGTATGTGTGTCGGGATGGTTGTCAGGACTGTCTTAGGGAGGTGTGTATTACCAGTGGTACTGTCTTGGGGAGGTGCGTACTATCTCAGGGATGTCTTGGGGAGGTGTAAAGAAGCATGTGGGCTGGTGCTGGGGTTGGTCTGGTTGCGGTCAGGGCATGACAAAGGGTGTGTGTTCAAAATATACTAAGTTGGGGCCTCGAGAGGTTTGTTAAGAGTTATGGGAGGTCCATGGGAGGTTCGCAGGTTCGTTAAGAGAAGCGGAAGGGCTGATCTGATTATGAGGCAATTCTGGGTAGTTCTGGCAGTATAAGGAAGGAAACTCTACCGACAGGGCATTCAGAGTGAGGTCATTCAGGAATCTGGCTATACTTGTAAAGTTCGGGATAAAGCGCTGGTAGAAGTTAGCAAATCCAAGCAACCTTTGTAGCTCTTGAAGGTTAGTGGGGGCTGGCCAGTCGCAAACTGCAGCTACCTTTACCGGGTATATTCTCACGTCCCCTTCTGATATAATATGGCCTGGATATTCAATCTGTTGTTGTTAAATTCACACTTCTGCAGTCGTAGGTACAGATCATGCTTCTCTAACCAGGTTAGTACTTCCCGTACCACTTGTTGGTGTTCCTGAAGATCAAGTTTCAACTGTTGAGTGAAATCTCTACCTGAGCCGGCTTGACAACCGTAACCAACACAAAACAGACTGAAGGCCATTAACAAAACATGCATTACTCCTGCGCATCAACGAGGCACCCAAGAATCTCAGCCTACCCATCCTCCAAGACTACGGCATCCGCATTGGCACCACCCTTAATTACCTTCTCCGAGGCGTTCCCTTCAATGCTGTCTGTGTTATAAGCACATGGAAAAACAACACCTTCCTGCTATATCTACAGAAACATACCGAAATCATACCACCGTATATGCAACTAGAGCTACACTGAGAGTTAATTCTCTATACCATACCCCCAGTAGGTTGCGAGGGCTCTCCTTCAATATGGGTATCCACAATCGCTTAATGTGTCATGCACTCCTACACACCGGGAATCATGGCAGACCGCGAATACTTCTTCTCCAGGATATCATTGGTGCGATTCATCCATATTCACAGCACGACCTGTAGGGGTACATCGAACTGGTGATCCATCCCCATCAGGAACAGTGGGAAATACACTGAAAGGGAAATCCATCATCATCAAGAACCATGCGGCCATCGTCGTCACGTACCGTGCGAGGGAAATGCGTACCTATGAAAAGTTTTATCATTGACTGTGAATATCAGTGAAAGGACACTTACAAATGGCCTGAGGAATTCTTTGTGCTTCTTCAAATACATAACCACTGTGAGCACTTAGATGAATGCACCCAGGGGAGGGACGACCAGCAGTTTGTGGTGCGAGTCGTCCTTTTCCCTTATATATTTACGGAGGTAGATGAGTTCCAGATTGAGAAAGGTAATCTGAACGATGTTTCCCCGGACAAGTTTCCCCAAAAATGGATGGTTACAAGCATGACAAGGATAATGTGATGCGACATACTCCGAATGATCCGCTTCGAAGTCAGAAGTAGGGAAATCAGCATCAGGTGGAAAATGCTTCTTGCGAAAAGTATGACTGGGAACATCACTAAGTGTAGTAGGTACATGGGTTGAGAGTAAGTAAAAACATAGCTTCAACCAGGTAGAACACCTGCACAAACAGATATAATAGGAAAAAAAAAATGTGATTCCTTTTACAAAAATTCTGACCATGATCTGTTATATCTTCTCCGACAGTCATGATCCTGACCTGGGAATTGAGAACATGAATCGAAATACAAACGAGAAAGACGGTGTGTAGGAAATCGGTAACAAACACCATCATGAGAGTCATGATGACATTAATCATAATCACAACAGTAATGGCGGAGACAATCATAATCTCGACAGTTAAGTTGGCACCATTGATGATATCGATCAGTGCAAGGAGAAATAACTCAAGTTGGAGAATGTGAAAGTGTTCTAGTTTCATAATACTGAGAAAGAATTGGTAGCACAATTAGAGGAGATCAACAACAAATGTATCAAGAAGGTTCATAATAAAAGACTCCAGTGAGATGAACCGGAGCATGAGGGGGTGAATGTGACCTGGAACTTGAAGGACTATGCCAAGTTATATGAGGTCTAGATATTGTAAAGAAACATAAGCTGAAGATTGTTGTGCAACAACTGTAGGTTCTCCTGGGATAATGATAGGAGTACTATGTGAACACGCGGGGCGGCTTCTGGACCGAGAGTTATGCCTTCAAGTCTGTGCAAATAATCATTAGCAGTGAGCAAGAACAACTCCCCCGGGATTGGACAATTAGTGGTGATGGTGTTGGAGATGGTACAGAAGGCATAAGTAAGAGTGTTTGCAATGGCTGTGCAGACTAACTTGGCTGCATGACAACTTGACGAGGAGAAGTTTGTCTATTCCCTGATGATGAGTGGGACCTGGAACTCAAAGATCACATATATATGATAGACCGTGTCAATAGATAGGAGGATTGTATAGGTTGCATTCGTGTAGTGAGTAAAGAAACATATTAACTAACTTTTCTGTCCCATTTCAGCCCAAAACATTCTCAGTTTGCTTATTAATACTACCTCCATTACTGCAATTTGTCGTTCGTTCTCATTCATTCCCACCCAATTATTCAGCGCTGATTCTCTTTCTGTTTGCCCTGTGGCAAAATTTGAAGACGGGAAGTTCCAAGTCCTCGCTGTGGAATCAAAAGCTATGCAACTCAAAATAAGCCAAAATGTCCCTCCTAAACGGCAACCAGCCACTTACCCCACAATCAATACTGTTGAGGGCCTTGATTTTCACCATGATGCTGTTCCTCTGTAATGTTCTTCCCCATAAAAGTTGACACATAGGCTCGAACATAGGACAGGAAAACATTCAGGCTGCCAAAAGCCCCCCCCGCTCAGGCCCAAACCCAGACTCGAAAGGTCCATCGTTTGACAAAGAAGACGGAGATGCACCAAAATATAAAATCAAATTGGCACCTTTATCATACAGAACTTTGCTTGGAAATAAGATTTCAGTTCAGCATGATTTTGATTTGAAAAATGGTCATTCACACATTGTAAGCATCATTTGGGGCTTTTCCTTTCTCAATTTTGATCACAAAGTCATTGATATTTGGGTCGATATACATACATCTCCAAATCATCTTTCAGATATCTTTGTTGAAATTCTAGTAAGCAACTTCAATTAACTCTAGCTCTGACCAGATTCCGGAAATCCATTACTTGCAAGGAAGATGAGGAAAAGGACGATAAACCACATTTCCTGGTGCAATAGAGATCAAATAGGATGCCATTGGAACTGGCTAAAACTGCAAAGGAATTGAAAATCAGAACCTAAATAGTAAGAGATGAAGGGTGCCTCACAGTGGCTCATGAACATAACTCTGCATCCATCCCGATTAGTTTTCCGTCATGCACAGGCCCATCCAATGGAAGAAATTAATGTATAGCAAAGATCAGAGCGGAGAGAATCAACACAACTTTCTGTCATGCCCTGACTACAACCAGACCAGTCCCAGTACCCGCCACACGTTGTCATTCATCCTATCCACCTCCTGTACCTCGTCTGCACCTCCCCAAGTATTTCTGATATACCTACCCAAATGTCCTTCATCCTGACACGCATACAAAACCCTCGTAACCGCCAACTCCTTTAAGCACTAATCTCGATTACCTCCCTTCCTTGATTAGCTGCCTCATGTCTCCAGATGTTCTCTTGTTCACTTCCTGTACCTATTTAAGTAGGACCGCAATGTCCTGAAGCCCCAGTTTGGAATATTTTGAACACACACCCTTTTGGATAGATCCAGTCCCTGTCCCTTTATACCTGCTAACCATATGGATTTATCTTTACTCTCTGTTTCTCTATCTCAATTTCTCTCTACTGTTGTCTATTGTCTCTACGATTGTCTATACGATCCAATACACACTTTTACTTCACATCTAAGCAATCCAAGTGAGTCTCCGAGCTCCCTCAAACAATACTAAAGCTCCCCAATGCCTAACACCTTGGAGAGCTAACCCCCCAAACCTCCTCTAGCTCCCCAATTGCTCCACAAGCTCTGGGACCTCAATCTAGGTAATGTTGAAATATGTGCCGTTTCTCCGTTACAACCTCCAACATTTGTGGACGTCCACCTCTAAGCTCCAGTTCCCGGGACCTCCCTTCCTGGGCATATATCTTCTCAGGAGCTTACACACTCGAGACCCACTTCCACTACAACCTATTCCATCTTACATTGATGTTCTAGCAAGTACAACTCCTACTACGCAACACTACTAGGTTCCGTACTTCTACCTCCCCTACCTACGCCTTAGGGACCTTCCTGGACCTTATAGGAACCCCTTCAAGGGTCATACCTCTCTATCCCACCACTACTAGGTCATTCCCATCCTCGGTCGCAGTTTCTGTAGCTCCCTTCGAGCTCCAGCCTGCTCCTAGCACGCTACAACGTAAACTTCTTATACCAAAACCTACCCTAAGACCTATTCTGACCCAGGTCTTACACTTTCCGCAAAGTATTTCTTACTTCTGTAGCAATATAGAAGGTAGTCTCCGTATTTTTGTACTTCATTGTTGCGTTAATTGAGGATCCACAATTAACGACGGATAATGATATTTTGTGGCAAAATGCAAAATTTCCTTAGAATGTAAAGTAATATGATTTCTGTCATACAATGAGATCGAACATTGTTATTGGAGCGACTTATGTAAGCATTTGGGAACTTAATCCCTTCATTTTGAACAGCAATGAGAAGAATGTCAACACTGCATGGTTTCTTTGTTTTAACTCATCTCTTCCAACATTTTGGTAAGATTTTCTGCCTCCATTCCGGATATAGGTGTGCAGGTGTTTCATCATGAGCAAAGCGAAGTGATACTGGCTAGAGCTGGCTACAACTGAACCGGAAAGTAAACAAATACAAACTGTTGCCGCGCAAACTCTCACGAAGGTAAAATACTCATGGCTGTGTATGGGATAAGCAAAGGGTGGGAAGCTGCTCCTTTTTAAGTAATGCTTCATAGCCCCGTTACAAAAACAAACATATAATTAATCATAATTAAATACAATGCAGAGGTGCGCCAGCACCGACCAAGATTATCAGATTTAGCACAGGTCCCTCCGAGCCGCATGAACGACGCTCACATGCACATGCATGTCAAGGTAAGGTGTAAAACAATAACATGCATTGCTTGCAAACAAAATAATAACCAACGAATCATAATCCTCTGCAGGTAGAAAGATTTGGTCAATTGTATACCTAGTGTCTATAACATCATACTTGAAAATTCCGACGCTTTGTTGTTTTCTAGGTGAATTCGAAACCACTAAAACACTGGTAAACCTATTAAAATATCAAAAAGACATACTTAATTATCACAACACTGATGCCCTCATTGCTTTTCTTTTCATGGCATTTCTCAAGGAGTCTTGAGTAGCTCTTGCTGATGGCCTATGATTTAGATGATCAATCTGTATGTATTATACAGAGTTTCACTGCATCTGCAAAACCTGGATATTCGGCTAAGAGTCTCAAAGCAGTTTGGAGCACTTCCCAGCAGTGAAAGCACTGGAATCTGCTGGGATCTGCTGTCGGCCTTTAGCCGAATATCCAGGTTTTGCAGATGCCTGTAATTACCAATTCTGGAAAACACCCAAACTCAAGAATATTTAATTTTACTTCGGTGCTTTCTAAACTATATTACACCAGACAAGGACCGCCCAATTACAGTGCTTTGCGAAATTCTTTGCTTGCTCGACTTTTTCACATCTATTTGTATTTATTTATTTGTCCAATATATTTTTACCCCAAAAAGGATTCATCAATCACTTTTTGAAGCCCGACGGCCCTGGTTAGTGTTGCCGGAAGGGAAGCTACCTTCAGAGGTGAGGTGCTTTAAGGTGCAAATTTTGGCACTCCGATACCTTGAGGCACCTTAAGGTCGGCAAACCAGAGCTCGCCTTGAGGTCCATCATTGATATCAGCTATCTTGTGAATCAATCATCGCACTCACTGTGTTGTAAATTGTAACTTGTCTCTCTATTTCTCCTTGTATCTTCTCCCTTTGCTAGGGGCTAGGGCTCTCATCTATTGTGTAGTCTGTAGATATTCATGGCTCTTCGCTAAAGAATAGGAGCCAGGGCTAATTCAGGGTTTCAAATGTTCAAACTTCATAGCAATGAAATTTTTTCTTTTTTGTTTTGCACGTTCTAAGCAAAGCCATGGATCAAGGCTTTCCTCCTGCTGGACTGCCTCAGACTCCTCTGCGTCCTCAATCGACCACTCAGAGCCATGTGCCATACACTCCCCTACAATCACAACAACCGCACTTCCACTACTACAGCCGATATACGCCAATGACCCCCCCAGGTGCTTTTCCTATGTACCAAGTTCCTTTCAATGCCCCTACTCAATCATTTCATCACAACGTAATTGGTCAATCTTCCCCGAATTCTCTTCCTCTACCATCTGGAAGGTTTTTACAGCCTGTGATTGTGAATGAACCCGTAGCGACTCAAAATCAAAATTCACAGCCAGATGACCTTTCAGATACTGAGCAAGTTCCTGGTACTCGGAAAAGACGAACTCGCAGTGGTGGAAATACGCGGCGCTCACACCGTACGCGTCTTGATGAAAATGGAGTTACAGCTTCTGCTCCAGTTTCTACAAGTATCGCAGCTTCAGCTACCTCTGAAACTCATGTAAGCCTTACAGCTACAGCAGACACCTGTGGTGTTGGGTCAATACCAGCCCACAGCCGGAGATCAGCCTCTCCAAGTAAAAATCCGACACTTAACTCGAAAATCTTCCTGTCGAAGCTGAAACGAGACAAAAAGAAATCAACTCATATTGCGTCTGATGTCTGGTTCAATACATACCCTTGCAACTCCAAGGATCGGCCATCGACACCTATTCAACATGATCAAAACCTGGTCAAGAAGCGACCCCGTGTCGATAATGCACCATTTCTGGCATGTCGTTTCTGCATGTATGTTTGGGTTCGTTATCTATCATTGCTTCAGAAGCTTACTTTGTGATAATCATAGTGGGCATGGAAAGTGGCATGCGTGGAAAAACACTAACGGTCAAACAGAAACTATGCGGGATCACCTTCAGAATGAACACTGGGCAGAGTATCGCCAGGTTGTTTTGTCCGAGCATCTCAAGGGCTGGGAAAGTATTGGTCTCAATTCTCGCAATAAGGACCCATTGATTCAAAAAAACGAACCATTCTCGCTTGATACATTTCATGAGAAAGTTGTTCGTTGGGTTGCTGTGGATGATCAGGTATGTTTATCAGAGATTTTCCATTGCGTTATGTGATCCCCATTATCCCTTGTAGTCAATTAATGTAGTTGACTGTCCTGAACTTCGGGACTTGCTCCTTTACGTAGGGAGTAATCTTCATGAAAGTGATATACCCCATCGTACCAGGTTAACAGAGCTAATCCTAGAACAATATGAGAAGCACTGGAAGAACGTTTCGTCGGAGATGAAGGTATGATCATATCTCCTACTCGTAAATCAGCTCTGATTAATTATAGCACAGGCTTCCCTTGGCCGGATATCTTTCACTATGGATATGTGGTCTAACGGTGTTTTGAAGGGATTCATGGCTATCACTGCGCATTACATGATGAAGGATGTATCTGGCCATCTCATCATGAGGTCACGCTGACACGCCTAAATTTTTGCTAGACGTCTATGCTGTGAATTGTGACATTTTCACGTATAGATTTGTATCAAGAGGACTGTAATTGAGACCCAGATTGACAGTCAAAGTCGATACTGAATCAGTCTAATAAGTTGAAGGGACCATATACCCATACTACCACAAGTTGGTTAGTTTACCCATCCCCGATACTACCTACGGATAGCAGTCTACCTGTTTGTCAAGCAGGATTATACCAGACTCGGACTACATCCGAAGGATGACCATTCACATATGACATACCAAGGGTATTCTTATTGGACCTTACACTGGCAGGAGTTTGGAAGAACTTACTCAAGTGACCATGAACCGAGGATTGACTCGAAATGACTTTCTAGAACTCAGGAATTATCAAATACTCCTTCTAGAACAAGATCATGCATTAATCTAGAGGACTGCGATTTAGTCTAATAGACCAATCAAGTTGCATGGTTGAGGAAAATGACTAGAAGAACGATCGAAGTACTGCGAGGCTCCGAAGACATATCAAATGAATGTCAAAGAGTCCTGACGTAGAAAACATTGAAGAATGCAATTAAATGAATACTATGCGTAACTCCCTTGATAGAGTATAGGCACAATGGGTGTCTGTTGAAAGAGAGAAGCAATTAGTTTAATCCAGATGAATCAGATTGATAGGATTAGAATCGAGGAGAGCTGATTTGCCTCCGGATGAGGTGACAAATGATCGAAGTAAATGTTGAACCGCGATGACAGTTGAACACCATTCGAGTCATTCTCTAAAAACAATTAAACTAAATGAATATTGAAGTACCTACCTATGTTTGGAGGTATACTAGAATCTTGGAACCAATATGGACCAAATAAGGACATGTAGATTCAAATTAAATAGTATCTGACTGAGTGTAGAAGTTTCCTTGCGGTTCCGAACGTTTATTGTATTAAATTAATTGTACTATGCGACTCTATATTCTGTATGTATAAATAGCGATCCGATGTATCTGGAATAAAAGTGATTTTGGGACGACGTTGCAGTGCTAATCCGTAAAAAGGAAAGACACACTCCCGCCAGACTGAAACCTCTTCGCTAGCAGCCATTCGGGCCCGGCACTTGTGAGTATAGGAACGTCGTGTTCTGCTCCTTGTGACTGCGAGAAGTCTATCCAGTTGTTGGGTATTCTTCGAACTTAGGATCAGTCATTGGTCTTAAGGGCAAATCACGCTGTGTGGTTGTGCCAGCACATAGTTCTAGCCCTCCGTAGGGGTCTGTGTGTTTCGGTTTTAATTTACTTTGATTCAAACCCCCAATTCTTGATATACCCAAATCAATACAAACCAGAGCACGGATCGTGCTGAATCTACCTTGATCAAAGGAATATATTGAATCCTTAGAACGATTCAAATTGATTGATCAAAGCTTCATACTTAGCTCTCAAAGCTTTGCGGAACCTTTGCCAACGCTACCCCTTGCTATTAAATAAATTTGATAGCAGTGAACTCGCATATTGTGTATTAGATTGGTTGGTTGGAGTGCCCATTAGATTCCTTCCTTTCTCTTTCACACAAAAACGAGGCAAGCTCGTTAACGCTTGATTGCTTTCCGTCAAGTTAGTGGCAGTCACGATGGCCCAAATATGGCCCGAAGCTTTATGCAAGTTCTGGATGAGTATGGTATTGCAGACCGGGTACGAAATCAAATTTCATCCCCAATCATAACTTCTAATTGCCATTTAGATTGGTCAAATCACACTCGACAATGCTTCCAACAACAATACAATGATGTCCGCACTCGATCTTGAACTCACCAAGCGTGATATCCCCTTCGATTGTGATGGAAATTGAGTCCGGTATGTCATGTATCTTGTTTATATAGTCATTAACTCGATGATATTGTATCAGATGCTTTCCCCATGTTATTAATATCGCTGTGAAGACTGGCCTCTCCTTTGTCACAACACTTCCTCCCCTTCAAAATGGACAGACTGATGATGATGGCCTATCTGCAGACGAAATCTCTGCTGTTCTCTTCGACAATCCCAATAACTCAGAGGAATACCGGAATGCGCTTGCCAGTGATCTCATTTCAAGAGTACGACATCTAGTAAATCTGTGCCGCGCATCAGGTAACCGTCGTGATGATTTTCGCAATACGGTATTGTCCATGCGTGAAGAGATTCGAAATGCTCGCATTGAGAGATCCCAGGAGAGAGAAGGAAATTCTGTGGATGATGAATCTGATTATAGCGATACTACCATGCTCTTGGAGCGTGTTGTTGTTCTTCTCCGTGATGTTGATACCCGCTGGTCGTCAACTTTCTTTATGGTTGACCGCTTCCTTGAACTATATCCAGTAGGCATCTCACTAAGTTATATTTGAGCTCTTCTAATGCTTTCTCAAGGCCATTCGTCAATTTGTACAAAATGATCCCAAGATTTGTGATACGGAACTGTTTAGTCCCGTCGAACTTCAAGTTCTCGATGACATAAGAGAGTATCTTTTTGCTTTCCACTCTATTCAAGAATTGGCCTCTGCTGAGAAAACCCCCACATTATCAATTGTTCTTCCCCTGTACGAGGGTCTCATTGAGATCCTTGGGCTCATGAAGTCTACTCTGCCGAACCTCTCACATGTCATTGATGTGTCACTAGAAAAACTTCGTGAATACACAAACAAAGCACGAGTAACACGTATATATGGATTGGCAATGGGTACGATTCTTGTCTTGTCAAAGCTGCCTTTTTAATTCATGCGTTAACTCAAACAGCAATTAATCCAACGACAAAGCTTGACTGGGTTTCTGATAATTGGCTTAGAAGTGAGAAAGACCAGGTTCGAAATTGGTTGAAGAATGCAGTGCGTACGATCTTCTCTAATGAATATACTTATACTAATGGTGATGTAGATGCTCGAGTACCGTCGAACAATATCATCAACAACAAGTTTACCCACATCAGTCAGTCGACGTACTGTACCAGGTACTGTTTCATCAGCTGCACGTGCTCAAGGTGCAGGTATGCTTGCAATGCATCAGCTCAAGAAATCCTTTGCCCGAACTGCAAGTCTATCATCTGTCAACTCAGCATCTTCGTCCCAAGAGTCCACTGGGTCAACACCTTCCGATGATATGCTTGTTGAAGATGAGCTTCGAAACTGGCTTGATGCAGGTACTCTGAATGATCCAGAGGAGCTCAGTAACTTTGATATCGTTCGCTTTTGGGATCTGGTAAGTGCATTCCGATTCTATACTTGGCGTTATACCGATTTGATCTTCAACTGGCACAGAATCAATACAAGTATCCCTGCCTCCACCGCATTGCTGTTGATGTTCTTCCTGTACAGGCATCAGCTGTACCTTGCGAACGTGCATTCTCCTCGGGAAAGAAAACCGACACTTTACGTCGGTCCCGGTTATCTTCAGAAATGATGGAAGTCCTTCAGTTTTTGAAGCATGTTTACCACTCCGACCGCCTTAACTTCACAAATTCATGGATTGCACAAGTCCATGAAGAGGTGGACAGAGGTACTATGCTCAACATAGATTCTTCAATGATTCACTCAATGCTTGCCTCGGGGAAGATTCGTGACCTTTGTCAACTAATGGAATCATCGTAGAAAGTCAGAAGTTTATATGTTGCCTGTCAGTATATTACAAGTATAATACAGATATAATGCATGGTAATTTGAACGAACAGAAAGCACAGAAAGACAGAAAAGGAAATCTAGTAATTGCTTTTCCGCCACCATGTCTGCACTCAAACGCAAACACGATACTTTCTATTATGATTCCCCTTCTTCCAAAAGGCCTATGCCAGGCAATAGTGTTCAACGCTCACCACTTGGTACGTTTTCGTAAGTTTCTAACAAAATTTCTACTTTTTCATATGTCACTAATTACTCTGCCACAGCAATGGACCAACCCATCTTCCTCCTACCCCATTATCCAATTCAAAAGTGAAGAAAGAACAACTCTCTGCCATGCAGAGGCAGCCTGAGCACACTATCAGAAAAGACGTTGAAGAGGGGGAGCCCGAGAGTCAGCTGCCTGCTTCTGGTGCGTGGTCTATCTTTTGAATATTCATGTTTCTGATTTTCCTTCTATATATTTCAAGAGCGCGAGCAGATTCGACAGATGTTGCAGGAGAAGTATGACGACCTCATGCTGGCTTTCAAGAAGAAGTCATTTGAAGTCAAAACTCTCGAAGGCAAGGTCAAAGTGTCACAGGCCCAGCTTGCCTCGAGTCAGGATCAGCTTCAGCTTCTTGCAGAGAGCCGGCAGGATCTGATCAACGACTTGCAGTCAAAACAGAAGAAATCTCTCCAGACAGAACAACGTTTGCGGGCAGAGCGAGATCAAACAAAGAATGAGTTGGCTTCAGTACAAGTAGAGAGGGACACAGCGGTCTTGGAACGCGATGCTGCGCAGAAGGAAACCAGTAAAGTCGAGAGCGAGCTGCGGGAGTACCAACAGTTATTTGATTTGCATGCGAAGCTCCTCGCTAGAGCTCAAGCTCAAATTCATTAGTTACTATGCCCCACCTACGCTCACCCACTTGTACACACATATTCTTCAATAGTACTTACATTTTCTTACTGCCAATTTTTGCATGTCTCTCTACATACTCTCAGCAATGGAGAACTTCGTTAAGCTCTCAATGATGTCGCAAAAGTTTTGCAAAGCAGATTCTATTCATAAGACCTATAGGCTATGTACCGTGTACGGTACGATGTACAACTATCAGTCTATCTTTGATTCCTGTACATCTGCCGACTGCCACAGCGGCAGTGCCGCTGTGGAGATCAATCACCTTGAGGTGACCTTCAAAAAATTGGCCTTAAGGCACCTTAAGGTGCCCGGGTCCGCACCTCACGCTCCGCTTGACCTCCCCTTCCGGCAACACTAGCCCTGGTGGTCCTCAAAGAGAGCCGTCTCGAGCCTCGGCCTAAAAATGTATTGGACAAATAAATAACAATAAACACTTGGTAAAAAATTCATACAAGCAAACCTTTTCGCAAAGCACTGTACTCTGTAATCTTCGCTATAATCGAACAACGAAATGGCTGATTTTGGGCGGTCAAAATTTTGGATGCTTCCGGGGCTCTCACCATCGCAGATCGCCAGTACACGTTGCAGATTCTCATTTTCATTATTGTTCCTGAGCCAAGGGAGTGGAAAGAGCTAGAAAGAGCTGCATATGATTCATCAAGTCAACTTTGAAGTTTAGCTTTTAACTTTGAGAATTGGAAGATCTTGACTATAACCCCGCCAATAAAGTATCGGTTTCAGATCTGTCTCGTACGCTTTAAATTGACTGTTGCTTGTTTCCACTTTCTCTGCTCGTACCCACCCACGGCCACAACGACCTCCAACCGCAAACATGGAACATTCGGACTTCGATTGTCTCAAAGAAAAGCAGTCATTTGGACCAGGAACATATAACACTACGCGTACCAATTCTCAGTACGATACAGTCTCAGTTCAGACGTCCGGCGCAAATCGGTTTGATGGAATAAGGGGACAATTTTGCAGCACCCAACTGTCCCACAGCGGCGGCGGCTTGGGATCATGGATTACTGACGATATGAAGAGAATGTTCTATGCTGTTTATAGAAAACATGGTTCAGTAAAGGAGAGACGAGAGCTCAATATTGCATATCGTCATATTGTTCGTGTCCTTCTTTCGCAAATACTACAAATTGAAACACTGATTTCGATCGATAGGTATGTGAACGATGTTTAGCGAGAAACAAGACATGCAAAATTCAATCTTCTGCATTCCAATGTGGAAACTGCCCAACGTATATGAAATGTTCACGCGTACCAATTCTCAACAAACTACGAGTTCTGCATGTTATGAACATCACCGAACAACAATATGAGTCGCTTCTTACATGGTATAAAAAGAGTGTAGATGAACAGATTGCGATGTCGATGACGGAACTTACCAAAATTATCTCAGTGAGCGATTAACTGTTATTTTTGCAAGACATTTTATTTATTGTTCTTTATCTCAGGCAAGTGCAACGAACATCGTGAAAAATCCAATAAGATCGCGCGAAAGTTGTTTGCCTCTTGCAAGTTTCTATTCTTCATCTTTTAGTTGTAGTTGATCATTCAATGACAGACTACTCTTGTTCCGTTGCAGGTGTCTCATCCGCACGAAATTGAAAATTCCACCAACATGCAACTCCAAAAAATCCACAACGAATTCCCCAATAGGAGAACGATCGACTCCGGTCAAGAGGACTTAACGTACGGATACTCTGTTGATCAGAAACATCGTACGACTTCAATTAGTCCTATCTCTGTCGACTCCTCCACGTCATATCTTGACAACGAACAGTCACCTTTGCGCACATTTTTAACACCGATCAATCCTTATTATACCCCAACATTGTCGTATCCGTCTCCGTGCCTTCGTTTACCTGCCCCCACTGCACAGTACGAAATCCTCAACTCGTCTTACCAACAATTCAGCGAGAACCCTCGTTGTGGTGAGTTTCAAAAGCATGTCTTGGCTGCATTTGTTCTATTTGCTGACGCGTTCAATGGCACCATAAGAAAATGCAAGTGAATACTGTCCAAACATTCGCAGCCGCCACGATGATCCTCGAACATACACAGCAGGGTCCGAGGCACCTCAATCGTCGATGGTCCAGGACGAAAAACGATTTTGCATGTCCAGTCATCAGATTTGTGTGAACGAATTTGACAGATGCAATCGTGCTACCCCCACTACTTCAGATTCTCTGCACTATGATGCTTATACCGACCGTGAAACTGGGACCCTTCGTTACATCACATCCTCATCGACTATGGAAAAGGAATATTGCGGCATTCACAATGTTCATCGCCCCAATCGTGGAACCTGAAATAGTTTGCTCTGTAGTCGTCAGATCCAGAAAAGCTTCGACATAAATCTTGAAACTCACTTACACTAATCGTTCTTTCAAAACCATGTATCTTTTGTGGAAGAACACTATCAGAAATGAAGAAAGTCAACTCTTGCGTGTAGATATTATCTTATAAAATCTTGTTTTCCTATGTACAGCGTTATAACAGTAGCTATCCGAATATGTATAAATCACCCAATTAGGTGAGGTGAAACTTCCGCGTTTGTTTTGCGATCGATTTCGACAAACTCACGCGAGGAGCATTCAAGCAAATACAAAGATGGAATCGTTGCCGTTACAGATTTTGACAAAACCAAAGAGATATCTATTCGATAGATGAATATATATTTAGTTCCAACTTTTCCCAGATAAGAAGGCGTTGGATTATCACAGCAACAGCAGCAAAACGAAAACCCAGTGTTTAATTACATCAATAAAATAATGAAAGAAACCAAGATTTTTCAAGGGTTTCCAGAAGAAATTTGGGATAGCGCACGGTTCCGAGGCTGGAGGAAGATTGAACATATTTTCGACAACGAAACTCAACAAGAAATGATGTTGAGTTTCTTTGTTCGAGTCACTTACAAAGATCGCAAATACAAGGTCAAAAACTTCCGAAATAAATGACGAGGACGGGATAACTGTAGCACAAAAAACGTAAGAACATATGACCGCCTTGTTGTGCGATTTGCCATTGCGAGAAATTGATCACAGCTCTGTAATGATTTCCTGACTTTATTCTTATCCATTCTTTAATCCTATCTCCCAATTTCGACGTCAACATTGTGAAGCCCTTCGCAAGATCTGTACTGCGGCTCAACTTCCAGACCATGTTTGCAGATGCTACCTTCCGGAAACCATTTGTTTTGAAACGACTGCCCCCAAGGTGATTTAATCCATATCGACCCAGATAATGCTATAAACCTACAACGTCAACTTTCCGAAGTTCCTACTATACCAAGGGCAGGAGGTGACGAGGAGGCTGTTGAATCTGATCAAGTCATCCAGTTACACATTTTTGGTAAGAGAAAGACATGGATTAACAAAAAGATTAAGATATGCAAGAGAATCCACTATGTTATACAAGCACAGTCAAACTCAATAATAAACAGCTTCTCGAAAAAATGCTGCCAATGGAAGTTTTTCTTCGATTGGATGTAGCTTAAACCTGTGCAAAGGAGGTTCCTGGCTTCCCCTCACACGAGGAGGTCAAAGAATGGCTTGCAGACCACGATACGCTTGAAAAAAAGATCAAAATACTTACTACAGGTAAACTGAAGAAGCTACGGAGTTTCACCAGACCTACGCTCTCAATTTCTGTCGATATTGTCATCGTACTTAATAGCAGGAAACAACCGCCACCCAAAGAAATTTGTCTCCTGGAGATACTTATTTGACTGAGCTGACGCTAACGAGAATTTATGCCCTCTACAACTTGTTACATCTGTTACGGAAACGTTCGGAAACATTAAGAGTACGGCTCTCGCGGGAAGAGAACCGAATATCCAACTAGGTTGATCGTCGGAAAATCATTGCAGATCTACAAACATTCCCGCAATCCTGCACGAAATGGTCTGCCTCAGTCCACGCCAACGCACCCAAATCTGATCCTACTCCTCTCCAAGATCACCTGCGAGGCTTTGAGAGCTTCTTAGCATCAGCTGCGTTAGATACATCGATCAACTCTCCTACCTTCTCTCAGAATACACGCTTCAGATTAGCGAAATAACTTTCTCCAGTCGCTGCTATGTTTTCTACTCGTGTATGGTCACTGCGCCTCGAGAGCGTAGCAGCTTCCGGCAAATTTCTCGACAAGTTGATCAACAACAGTCGAAAGCCAGTACCAGAAGTTCTGTTGGATGAACAAGACAGAATCGATGATAAGTGTGTAAATGATATGGAAAAAATAACCAAGTTTGTGTTGAATGTCATAATGCAATGGAGAAAGGACCGATGTCCTTTTCTTGACTTTTACCACTTAGAGATGCTGATGAGATCTATGTTCAAACTCAAATTTCTGCCCAGACACTTCTAGAGGATATTGAAAGTGTGATGATGCAGCAACCAACTACTCGCCACAGCACCGCATTTGTGACTCCCTCAGACGCATTACTGAAGCGGCTACTGCCTAGAGGAAACCTTGCATCATCTGCGAGTATTTTTCCACGTCCTTCTCATCCCTTCTTTACTCACCAATTCGAATTCAACGGGTCCCTTGCACAAACGCTCTCATCCGAGATTAAGAGTACAACTGAACTTGTAACGAATGTGGAATCCCTTACCAAAACGTCCCGGGGCTTATACGATGCTGTCAGTCGGGTGAAATCGTTGAACGAAGCTGTCTCATCACTGATACTCACTTTGCAATTCATCACCGATCGTTTGAAAAATGTTACTGCATCGAACGAAGTCGATGGCACACCTCCTACTCTCATGGCGAATGAGTGCTTGGATCCCATTCATCATTCCGTCTTCATCGCACTCCTCCTCTTCCTGTTACACGAACATGCAAAAAACAGATCATTCCGCCTCGGAGTTAGTCCGTCGATTTCTAGATGTGAACTTTCCACATGTGGACTAGGAATTCAAGCAAACACATCTACTCAACTTTTGCGGCTAACAACCGTTCGCGAGCGACGGCAGCATTTGAATGAAAATACGATCGGACGTGTGGCGCAGATTGCGCGAAACAGGAGGATTCGGACTACAGTGCATGCGACATTGGGTGACTTCCCGCTGCAATTATTCTGCAGTTAACCTGCAATTAACTATTAACGGTATTTGATGCGACGTACGGACTGTTGATGGGACCCTCGCTTACACCAAAAACCAGTTTACAACAGGGTAAGTAGGGAGGCCGTTGTAAGTTGGTTTTGATGCAGTTTTTGAGAAGCCGCTCTCCGGCCATCTTCGCTTAGGTTCGTTTATATTGGTGGCACAAATTAATTGTCTGGTGTCCTGCAAATAATTCCTACGGGAAGTCATCCATTGAAGGAAGAAGAAACTGTTCGACGAAAAGGCGTTGATGTCATGGATAAACGACACGGAGTTCCCAGCGTTCTCGGCCCGTTTATGGATTTGATCCCCATCGTTATGTTTCAACCCGGATTTTCACCTCCCATAATTTACTTGTCTTCTTAACTTGCTCCTGCTTGACTAAGAATACCCTCCACATTCCCATAGCAGTCCAGAATCAGCGCTATCTCTTATCAGCATATGCTCGGACATGCATACACCGTTAACACCTACACATCAGAATGGCCATGGACATCGCTATCATTCACCAGCTCGTCCAAATGACAAACATTGTCATAGCGATACCCCAACCCATGGCTTGCGAGCTCAACTCCATAACCTCTTGCCACGTCACTCGTTCTTCCACGCACATATTCATATTCATCAAATCTCCAGCGTGCCTTTAGTACACGGCGAATTTGCTGCACGTTGGAAATTCAAAAATGTTCAATCTCAGACTGGACTGCTGAAACGAGTCAAGGGAAAGCGTAGAGGAAGTCAGAAGGCCGAAAAGGGAAAAGCCAAGGAGGTGGTGGGTGATGATAGCTTTGGCAGTGCGGAAGCAGCCGCTGATCGCCATTCTTCATCTTTCAACTCCATTGTCGATGACCAAAATGTCAATATCTCAGCTGTGGTTGTTTCAGGATATATGTCGTCTACGTCACCTCACCCCAAGTCACCTTATCAGGAGCTATTAAATCCTCCGTGCGCCGACTGTTCACGCACCTCTTCTGCCTTAACGTCTTCGTCTGCATCATATTCCCCTCCTCCGCGAATCTTCCGCAGAGTTTGAATATAACCCCTATCACGAACCATAATGCTCCTCCAACCCCTAGCATCGCCAGAATAGAAAGCTACTCGAATACCCGCGGTATGACTCCGTTTTACAAACTGAAGAACCATGCTATCGTATGGGACCATGATCCTGATGTTATAATCAAGATGGATATTGACCGCGAAACATCTGAGCTTCTTCCGAAAGAGTTCAAACTTGTTCTCATGCAGCGAGTCATCCCCGGCGACCCGGATGCGCCAAGAAATCCCCGTCTTGGTTCGCTCTATCTGGATCTCAATGAGTATGCTGGTGTAGGTAAAGAGGTGACGAGAACCTATTTCCTAAGGGATACTAAGATGAACGCTGCAGTGAAAGTGTGTATGTCTTCTATCGTCTCTTCAACCCGTCTGAAATTATAATCACACAGCTCACAATTTGTCTCAAGCACTCCGGTGTCGATACTAACTACATTGCCCCACTTCTTCCCAAAGCCGATATATTCAATGGAGTAGCAGATCTTCTGAATGACGACGTTTACATTACTCGACCTCGTGAGCTCGACCTTTGGGGTCGTTATCATAACCAACAACAGTTGGAAATGGATTTACTCCCACGTACGGGTATCCCTGAACTCCAGAACGCCGCAGCTGAGAAGTCGAGGTCAAAATCTTGAGTCAGAGCACGTTCCAACTCCCGGTTAACACACACTTGAATACCCAGCAATGGCAAAAATTCGACGAGATTTGCTGAAGACATGAACAGCGATGAAGACTTTTATATAGACGAAGATGATTCTGACATCGAGGAGTCAAGATACGAAGTCCCGTCCGATGTCTCTCGTCTTCCATTTGCCTACGGACCCAAGACCACGGAAATGCTCATCGAAGCAATCTTCAACCCCCGTTCGCGTTACGCATCATGAGTCGAAGGGCAACCCGTTCACATACTATGTTTCTCCCGAAGAGGTGAGGGAAGAACAGGCAAGGAAGCTTGAACGAGTGCGAGACAAAGATAGGACCGGGCCCGCGCCTTACTTGGACAATGAGTCCCCTTCACTGTATAGCGCCGACGACAAGAACAGTCACAGTGGGTATACAGAAAACAGCGAGGGTAGAGGACGAAGTGGTATGAGAGGATGCTGGTCATCAAAGAAGAAAACGCCTGCTGCTGTGTCTTCGACACCAACGGGGTTGTCACGACCTGCGACACCTGGGACAACGGTCGCAGTGCGTCAGTAATACGCCACCAAGCCGTGTCTTGGCAAAACCTTGGACAAAACGAACTATCCTTATCGTTTTCATCCATTTCTTATATTTTAATGCAAATGCTTGCTGTCCGCGCATGTTTTACCATCTTTCACTGTACTATGCTTTTTGTACTACATATGCTTTTTACGACTTGTTCATGCCATACATGCGATGTCTCTAAATTCTTGCTTAATTTCTCGAAATTTCCACTTTTCATTCGTCTGTCGTCAATGCTGATACACAATCATATTCTGTCCTACCTACAGTCTATAATTTATCCACATATACATGCCTTTGGCTTCTTCTGCTCGGAAGTTTTTACTTATTCAAAGATATTCATCGAACATCTCTAGTAGTTTCTAGTGTGTTCTTGGGTTATGCTTTAATATATTTTTTTATCATCCGTGAACACAATTGCGACTTGTTTGCGAAAGACGCGACGTCGGACGACCTTCAAGGTTCACAACATTTAACTTCAAGGTTTCAAAATCTTTGTACGTTGTTAGTTTCCTTGGAGATTCGGTTGAACTCAGAACTGTGACAGGATGCACCCATGTATATTCATAATGCGACACACAAACGACATAGGAATGAGCTCCTGCCCGGATTGCCGAATTGAGTTAGTGGCAATTTATCTTTCAAAGAGTTTACCACCAGGCAGAATGGTGGGGACTCGATGAACGAGCAAATCTCCTTCCACTACAGAGGACGAAGGTGAACCAAGTACCACCGAAGACTCCCATAGCTCCTCCTTCACTATCCCCATTCCAGAGGATTTCGAGATCGAAGGCTTCACCAGCCTCATTCCCAATTTGACATTCATTCACCGTCTCCAGAACCTCTTGTAAATCTCTACCAACCTCTGCTAGTTCAGTCGAGTGTGGTCGATGCTGCACAGCGTGATGTAGATGGTCTGCGGGAAAAACCAGAGCGGAAGGATGTCGAACTTGATGAGGCTCTTCAGGACCGCGAACGATCCTCGAAGGATTTGGAGCAGCAAGTTGAGCGGCTGCAAGAGGAGCTGACACAGATCAAGCAGGAGAGAGACCATCTTTGTGTGTTGAACTCGCCTTCTCTTTATTTCAATTGGCTAGTGCATTCTCTCATTGTTCCAGTGGCATCCAAAAACTAGCTGCAAACACGTATCACAGGTCTTGCTTCGTCGAAAACTTCTTCTTCTCGGGAGGCAGAAGAGCTTAAACATCGTCTGGAAGACGCAGAACGTGAGAACCGGGACCTCATCAATGTCATAAGTCGTTTGAAGCAGGATGGATCCCAAGGTGGCGGTGAGCTCGGTTTTCTTCCTAATTCGTTATACATCAACCTCATAGCGAATTAGACGAAATCAATACCTTGCACTCGAATTTCAAAGAAGCCCGTGCAGAACATCAACAGCTAGAATCAAAATTCAGGGAAATTCGCGCTACCGAAACACCCACAAGGTCTGTCAATATACTACTTCAGAGTATTCAATGATTGACTTATGTTCTCAGTTCAAACTCGTTTCTCTGACACAACAATTACAACTGGCACAATCCGAAGTCGAGCGCGTCAATATAGAACTAACAACAAAGTCTGAAGAATTGACGGACAAAACAAGCGAAACTGGTTGCACTCCAAGCCAGTCTCAACGACATGACGCAGAACCATAACTCTTTACAGGCGAATCTCAAAGCTTTGCAGACATCTCTTGCCTCTCAAACTCATCAATTAACACAAGAACTCACAATAGTACAACATGTCAATGATCAAATTGCGAAGCAGGAGGCCACGTACTCTACTAAGACGAATTCTTTGCATCGTCTTGTCGAAGTGTCGGAGGCACGCGAAAAGCAGGCGAAAGACTTTGTCGAGAATATGGAACGGGATTGGACCGAACTCAGTGAAAGGGCTGATGAGCGTGAGGCTAATGTCAAGGCTGACATTGAGAAGGAAAGGCGGGCCCGTGAGGAAGCAGAGAATAAAATTGAACAGTTGGAGAAAGTATTGGACAAAATAGGATGGGGTGAACTTCCGATTCCAGGCCGCGGTGCTGCCAGAACTCCCTCAAGACGAACCTCGGGTGTGTTTGACGAAGTTCACGATCGTTTGGTCAGTCTCAGTCCAACGATTGCGATGGTCAGCAAGACCCAGAAGAGCATCAAAAATTTCACGGAAGTTTACGCGCATTACGTTCAGCTTCAGGATCTTTATGAAAAGAAAAACATGGATGTAGCAATGGAAAACATATTGGCCCAACTTGAGGAACGGGTAAGCGTCGCAGATCGTTATCGACCTATATTTAATGTCATTGTCATAGGCTCCTGTCCTTTCGCAGCAACGAATAGAATACGAGCGAATTCAATCAGAAGCTTCGCAACTTGCGTCGAAACTAGCTCAGGCCATCTCCGACCGCGACGTGCAATATCAAGCTGCGCACGACAACGTGCAAAAACTCCACAAAACGTCACGAAAGATTGATCTTTTGCAGCAATAGCTGGATGACCTTGGACTCCAGGTTCGAGCATTACTGAAAGAGATTGGGCGTCCTGATGATCGAAATCTCTCGTCAGATGAAGATCTAGAAAACGTCATTGCAGCGGAAGTTGTTGAGGATGTCATTACCAACAACCTTATTCTGTTCCGTTCCATCGATAAAGTGCAGCTGCAGAATCAAAGTCTTCGTCGAATTGTCCGCGGCATGGGTGCAAAGATGGAACAAGCTGAGAAAAAACAGAAGGCGAAAATGGAGGAGGAGCAGGCTGAGGCAGTCAGGGAGGCTCATGAACCAATGGAGAATCTCGTCGCCGAACTTGACCGACAAAAGAAACACAGCGACAATGTTATCCAGGCCTACGTGAAGGAAAGGGATGCACTTAAAGCGATTATTGCCCGGTCGAATCATAACGAAGGACACACTGATATCCCAACCGACTCCAGCGAAATTTGTGTCTCAGACGTGTCGTCTAGTGTCGCGAAAGAGCTGGCTGGAATTCAGAGTCAGTTTGATACATATTAATCCGAGATGGGAGTCGACTCGGTGAAACTCAGGGAAGACAACATTGCTACTCATGGAGAAATCGAACAGTTACAAGCGGCGCTCGCCAAAGCGTCCACTAAGAATCAAAATCAAATTGGTATGGCTTAAATCGTTGTCCTGTTTCAACAAGCAGCTGATCAATAGTATTTTACAGAACGCCTTCAAATGCTTCAAGATCAAATCGGCCTTCAGAACCAAAAGCTGAATATCTTACCAAGCGCAACCAGCAATTACTAGACAATGTACTCGTGTTGACGTTGAGTGTAGTCGTGTCACAAAAGATCTGCATGTGACCTCTGGACATGTCGAAAAACTTCGAAGTGAGTGTGCCAAATCTACGCGCAAAGAAAGGCATTTGGGAGGTACGTTTGGTCCATTCCCACGTACCAAATGTTGTCTCGTCGACATTCAGAGTATCCAAAGTCGCCTAGACCAAGAGAACAAGAGCTTGGCCTTGGAACGTTCTCACCTTTCCACCTCGATGAGCAATGTTCAAAGAATGCATAGAGAATTGGAGCGATCCGGAGAGACCGACCGTTGTCGTCTAGAAAATCAACTCCAGCTAACCGTGAGCCAGTCGTGGGTTTTCTTCGCTATCAAGCAGGATTACAAGGTATTCATCGCTTTCCTCTTACAAGCAAGAATTGAGAAATCAAGTTACGCAAGAACGCGAAGCCGTCAGAAACCTTTCGCTTCAGAAAGATATAGAGGTCAGAGATCTGCAAAATCGCCTCAACAAATCGGTACATATTTAAAGTTGACCTTCCAGCAGGCGTCTCTCATAATACCGCTCAGGCGCAAGAGTTGTCGAAAACTCGGGAAGCTTTAGCTGTAGTTGAAATTAGCAAAGACCACCTCGAGGAACGTGTTGGCAATCTTACCAAACATATGAAAGACAATGAAGAGAAACTTGCAGTCTGTGAACGCCCCGGCGGTGCATATCCATGGAACAATCTGACCTGACTCGGGAGCAGCAGCTCGAGTGTGAAGTAGCAGGACTACGGTATTTGCAGTCTCCATACCTGCCTCATTCAACACTCACTCTTTCTATCAGATCGGTCCTCAAAGTCGTAGAGTTTGAACTCACCAAGCAAAAGGACATGTACAACAATTCCAGAGTATCAGCGAAGCGAATGCGACTGCCCTGATCGAATTCTAAAGCACTCACGAAGAATACATTGCCTCTACAGACGCACAATTTGCCAAGTCCGAGGTAGGTCGTTTATGGTGTATGGAACCTCTCTGCCAACTCACTCATACCTTTGGTAGTCCGACAGATGCGTCCTTGAAGAAAGACTGCAAATTGTTCAAACAGATCTTGGGGAATTGACCACTAAGCACAATGACCTACAGAAACAATATAAAGATGATCGTGTTGTTTGGTCCAACGACGAGAAGACACTCGAAGACACGATCGTAAATCTCAGTACCTCTGAAAACGACCGCAACTCCCATGAAAACGCTATTAAACAACAAGAAGAACGTGCTAAGGTAATCCATCAAAAATTCTACGATACCAAAAGAAGTAATCCTTTCCTCTCAAGGTAGTCGAGGAACGTTGTTCTAATGAAGTTCTCTCTCATGCGGAATCAATCAAGGCTCTCGATAACTTGAAAAAGCAACTAGCTTCTGTTCAGACCACTGTCAGGGATTACGAAGTTGCTGCCGTTCCAAACTCGCTACCTCAGAAGGCAGCTGGCAACAACAAAAACAAACGTTTGACAACGAGACGAAAGATCTGTGACAACGGTGAGTAATATCGATTGTTGATCGGTGTAATATCTTCCAATACTTTTCCAGGTTCAACGATCTGACAAAGCAAAACAACATACTCCACCATCACCTTGAAACGGTCAGCTCTCAGGCAGCATACATTCGCCAAGCAGCTGAAACAACAACGTCTACGAGCAATGAAGCAGATGCGAATGATAGCTCCGACGTAAACCTTTCGGAAATGCGTTTCGTAATTGCTTATATCCGCAAAGAAAAAGAGATTGTGGACCTTCAGCTTGACCTCAGTAAACCGGAGAACACCCATCTTAAATTCCAGATCGATCATTTTTAGCAAAATCTCAATGAAACCAGACAGACTTTATCTGAGGTTTGTGCATTGAAGTAGAACAGAAAAATTTCTTAACAACCTCTAGGAACGAGAGAAAGCTGTCGAAGCTGCGACATGCGGTGCAAAGTTGAAAGCACGAAGAACTCATTCACAGAATCAACTAATTGAAGATCTTACCGGAGAGTAACGCAACATCACGAGCGGATGGCGAAGCTCGGGTCAATCGTATCAAGGAATTGGAAACGAAGTTAGACCTTCTTGTAAACCAACTGGAACCTACAAAAGAGGAGGCCCGTGTCACTAAAACTGAGCTTCAGGACCGAGATACTCAAATGAAAAGGCTTGAAGAGAAGAACCGCAGATGGCAAGGACGCAATCAGCAATTGTTGACCAAGGTTTGCCATCATACCATTGCAGTCCATCGTGCGCTAATTGTTCAATACTATAACCGTATCGATGCATTTCAGATGCAGGCCCTCAAGGACAAGATTGAGCGTCTCAAAGTTGAGGAATGTTCATCAGAAAACGTTATCAAAGAACGAGAGGATGAGCTGAATCAAACCAAGTCCCGCGTAATTATTTATTTATTAAATTCTCATGTTCTCGACGAGTTTCTTAATTTGAGAAACAGGTCGAGAAACTTGAGAACACCCTTGCCACTTACAAGAAAACATATGCCAAAAACATGAATAACTTCAAATCAAAACTGGGCGAATTGAACGCCGTCAGGTCGAAGCTCACAACTGAGAAAAAGGAACTAGAGGAAAAGGTTTCTGCTCTAGAAGGACGGACGCATAATCTTGAGGTTACCCTTGATTCGTTGAAACCTGAAAAGGAATCGTCTGGTTCCCCTTCAGCTCTGCCAGACGGCGCTGCCAATCCGGACGGCATATGTCTTTCTTCTTGAACGCATCTCCATCCTCTGACTCTAAACTAGGTGGCTTTACGCGCCGAACGCGACCTACTGCTGGCCGAAAAAGCCTCCTGGGCAGCTTCTCAGACTAATTCGGAATTGGTGTTATCTGACAACCCTTCCGTGGGAAGCTTAACGAACAGCAAACTTCTCAAATGATCAAAATTGCGGGCAATCCTCCGAAAATAAGTGCAGAAACCATCATCGGTGACGACTTCCAGGAAACTTGGTTTGTATACAAATCCTTCTACCTCACCTTTACATGGGATCGGCGTCGAACTGATGAACGAAATGGCTGCTGTCCCTCGACGAGAGTTTTCTCCTCCACGGCTGAACTACCGAATCGGGAACGCAAGAGTCGCGAATAGAGGCTGGAACATCCTTCATATTAAATTCCACCGTGGCGCACAACTTCCAAATTGGTCTGTGCTCGTAGTCCGCGATCGACCGTCGGTCTTTTCAGAGCCTACTGATACTCGATTGCGTGGCCTCGTAGATGGCTTCCCAACGAAGATGCGGAATAAAGGGATGACTGATTCTTCAGGTTCACCATCGTTACTCTTACCTAATCTTCCTTCGCCCCACCAAGATCCAGAAGGGAATACCGTCTATCGCTGCAGTTGTTGCTAGCGTGCACAGTGACTTTATCCAGGACCCTGCAAGCGTGCGCATCCAACAATCGGATGAAATCAAACAGGTAAATCCCTTCAGTTATTTTGTCCATCATGATTTTATTAATCTCTTCATAGATACTGGATGAACTAACTGACATGATCATCGAATGGTTGCAATGCTATCAAACAAATAACAATGCACTTCCAGATCGTGTTTTTGTTTTCCGAGATGGCGTTTCAGAGGTCAGTATCACGTTTAATGATTGATATCGTCTTGATTCATATAAAGTCGACATATGTAGGGCCAGTACGACACCGGCTTGAATGAGGAATTATCCCAAATCTTGAATGCGTTGAAAAGGTTGAACACGAAAGACCGAAAAGAACCCTATAGACCTCTACTGTCTATAGTCATCTGTGGAAAACGTCATCATGCCAGATATTATTACTTTGTGATTTTTTTTTGTGATAACTCATCGCAACTCCTCCCAGATTCTATCCCACTGATTCCTAGTATGCTGATGGAAATGACAATACCAGACCAAAGACGATTGTTGACCGAGGGATTAATAATGTGTATGTCTCGAATAATCACTGTCCCCACTTGTTATCCTAATACATTGCTCAACTTTAAGCTTTGACTTCGATTTTTATCTTCGAGCTCGTGCTAGACTCCAAGGACACGCAAAACCAATGTACTAAATTGTTATTTGTGTTGAAACGAAATTCACCGCGGATGAAATACAACAGGGAACCCATGATTCTACTTACTTGTACGCCAGAGGCACAAGAGCGGTCAGTCTTATGCCTCCAGCTTATTATGCTGATCTTGCATGTGAAGGGGAGCACTGCTACTTGAACGATTTTTTGGTGGATGATAGATCATCTACTGCTGGAGGGAGTGGACGTGACAAGGCAGCCGAAGCTCACAGAACTTTTGAAGCAGTAAGAAGGTCTTGGGGAAGCGGCGTGGGTATTGAACGTGTTACATCTATCCAGTGCTGAAACATTTTTGTTTTGTTTTTGTTGTATATCGCTATAGTTAGTAGTAATTTCTAACAATCTGCTTTTACGTGTTCGAGCAAAAGAATGTTGATGATAAATAAATTACCGAGCATCAAGTAGTGTAATTGCTTCATGCGATAAAGGGATATAAATTGAATGCAACATTTTCCAACGAAAAAGTAGATATGCAACGACAAACGTTAAGCAAAGCAAATGCAAAAATCACAGACCCAGTTCTAGAGCAGCACCCAAACTTCTTACACCCCTATTTTCCGAAAGCTTCAGAACTAAGGTCAAACAATTTCGCTCCCGTTCTTTGCGACCTTGCATGCCATACGCTTTTGCAAGAAAATTCCAAGGTTCAGCAACATCCCAACCTGCATCTTGAGTGAGATGAACTAAAAATCCTGCCACAAAATCAACATCCTCTGGAACAGCTTTTTCTCTGAACTTTTTGTGCGAGGTTTCGTCGGGAAAGAGATATAAACGAACAAGATGGACAGAAGCAGCGACGTCATCAGATGATATGAACAATGCTTACTGAAAAGGCTCTGTTACTGCAAGAAATCGGTCTAGAGCAACATAGTAGAGACCAAGCTATTAAATTAAAGATTACAATGGTATCTTACGACTGACGAGTGAACATACCTGCACCCAGACACCCGGATTGCTTTCATCCCTCCCTTCCGCCTCCTCTATGGCACCCTTTGCTTGCTCAATTTTGCCCAAGCGCCTGAAGATAGCCGTCGGCATTCGCCATAGGTCGCTTGGCGGACGGTTTTCCTTCGTGGTGCGACGATTCCATTTGGAATCGGATGTAGACACTAATGTAGATGGTGGTGGCGCAGAGAGGAGGCATCTAAAAGCTCAGGTACTGGCGAAAAAGCGCTTACACGTCTGCGAGAATGGATCGACAAAGCTTGGTAGAATCTCGGACGTAGGACTGTATACAAATCTAGAAATCGAAATGAGAAATTAGATCACAACTGTTGAAAATGTCCTTGGTACCGGCTATGGAATTTCACCTTCTCAAACTCCCATTCTTTACTACACCTTGACCAATTTTCTTCGAAATCGTGCTAATCCGAGCACTCCCTTTGTCGACCTGGCTTTTCAATTTTTGTTGCATTTCTCTAGATTTTGACGCGTCCCGGTCGTGAATGTGTGCAGAAATCCGAAGGTGTGAATCAGATACATTGTCCGACTCTATTTCATTCCTCTTCTTCTTCTTGACGTCAAGCGGGTTTTGACGATTCGCAAGATACCTCCGACAGTCCGAAATCGCGGGAGATATCATGATAGGAGTTGCAGGCTGAAGCTCAGTCGAACTGATGTTCGCTAAGGATAATTGATCTTGACTTTGCTCAGCGGCAGCATCATGTATTCCCTTGACTTAATGGCCGACCTATGAGTTGGAAGCCGATATAGATAATACGAGCTCAGTTGGTGTTCTGAGTTTCATATCCGCCGACCGCGCCATATCAATTGAAAAGCGGGCTAATGAATTGCTATCAGTAAAGAAACAGGATTCGTAACAACGGGGTTTCGCACCATGAGTCTGATCTCCGCTAATACCTTTCTTTTCCGCGATTCACTAAAATCCTTCGGGAAGCTTGTCTGCTACACCCTCGGCGCCCTCGACGTACTCTATCATTGCTACCTGCGTCTTCCTCAACTGTAGTACGTATTCAAACTTCACATGCTTTGATAGTTCAGGATGATCAGCAACAACTTGTAGCAGCTCTGAAGACGGGAGTAAGCTCTGGGTCTGGGATAAACCTGTAGTGTTTAGTCCAAAGGCAGACACCAGAGGAACATCTTCGTCGTTCGGGGCTAACAAAATTTTTAAAATTGAGTGTGAAATCTGAAGAGGGCAAACTCACAATAGCACGTGGTGAGTGGTCATTAACTTTTGCTGTTCCTTGCGAAGGAACACTTAGTCTCGTGGTGCTCTGGGTATCAGTCAAATTCTGAACATTTTGTGCAACATCGAGAACCTCCCCAAGTGCAGCGCCTTTCTCTAGTGCACTTTGTGCAGCTTCCCATTGCTCCATTGTCGCTGAGAGCAATCCGATGAGATACCAATATCTAATCTGGGAAGGTTTGCTCTCAGCCGCAGTTGCTACGTGTAAGATAGCTTTTTCCAGATTTTGCTCGCAGAGAACTTCGCTGTGTTGATTGTAATTATCTTCGTAATTATCTTCAGAAGAGGGACAAGATGTGGAAGGAATGTATCGTACGTACGATAGTGCTATATGATAATGTGCAGATGCTGTGAGAAATGTGTCTACGGAGCGTAGGAACAGCCCATGGACTTTTGCAAAATTAGAGGGGCGGGGGTCTGAGTTAAGTTCTGACGAAAACGGGAGAGATCCGTGATCACGACGTATCGAATGTCTAGAGAATCACTCACATTTGATGGCGATGACAATCAACCATATTCCCTCTGCCAAAACGACACTAGCAGATAATTCTCGGTACGAAACATTTAATCGCGTCTTCGCTTTGTCAATCAACGTTTCTGCTTCCCGTAGATCGTCCATAATCACCCTGCTCTACCGGTCAAAAACCTGGCGGATGTTGAAGAGAGGATCCTACAGAACATTCGTGCACCAAAAACACATATTCGCCCCAGCTCTGGTCCATATCAGCTTCGTGCTCGAGTTCTCCCCCTGTGATTCCACTGGCTGTGCAAGCCTGATGAACTTTCGAAACAATTTGAACATAAAGTCTGAGTGTTCGTTGAGCGAGAGGAATGTCCCTCGGGACGTACAATAACCGCGTCAAATGCCTTTGAATAGTGTATGAGTTAAATTTTAATCACATAGCCCACCAGAGCACCTAAATTATGTCATGACAGTGCGCACATATTTAGGATCTAAAGACATACATCGAGGACCCACCCACCGTATTCTCCCACACCTCCACTAACCTCCCATACTGCAACACATTGTTCCACGTAATCCTCAACTGTATGATTTCGTTCACCAGCCTTTGGGAATTTGGTGGAAACATTGAGAATGGCACGATACTGTTGTATAACACTACGAACAGTATTCATCCATTGCAGCGACTTCCGGGCAGTTCCAACCAGAGCCGATTCGGGCATTCTTGCCCCATGCCGCAGCAAAAGTGCCCGGAGGTATATCACTGAAATCGTCAATCAATGTGAGAAGCGGAAATTTGATGGCCAGTACACGCTACAGCTAGAATGATGTTCTAACCAACTTCAGAACGAGTTTGACTCTCTACAACAAGTAATTTTGTGGTCGTGGTAGACATTGAGAGTCAGGGAACCGAGGACTATAGCGCGCCACAGCAACCGTTCAACCCATCGCCAAACTTCGCGGAATCTGATGAACGACTAGAAGTCCATATTTCCGGTGGAAGTGGGAATCGGGGCGAAAGTTAATGCTAGTTCGATTTCTACGATTGTGAGAAGAGAAAAAGAGCCAACATATATTTTTAGGGCCTTTCGAGGACCGATAGGGGGGGCTTTTCGTGGGGCGATGCTATAGTAGGAAGCGCAGGCAACTTTTTGACACCGCAATCTGGATTCTCACGAAGAAGCTTGAACCTCAGCTTCCTCTCGTCGTTCCACATCTGTTCGAGGACCAGCGTCAGGTTCTTCAAGTCCCATATAAAGCCCATGACAGCGTCCTCGAGATAACGAGGGGGAAAACGAGCGTATATGAGTCCAGTTTCCGGATCAATATCAGCATTATATCCTTGAGAGCTTGTTGTTACTTCATGCGGCAGGTGTTTGTCAAAGTCCTCCGGATATGGCAACCAGTCTCGACCGGTGGTGGTATGAGCAAAGTCAACAAGGCGAACGTCAATGAATCCTCTCTTGCGCCTATCCTTGTCAATGGAACCTTTCTGCATCGGACCCAACAAGAGTTCTCCGCTGTGTGATCTTCGAAGCATACGAAAGGAAGACATATCAGATGAAGAGGCGGTGGCACCTCGCTCAAGAGACTCGCCACGCTTGCTGCGAGAGGTCGGTGTTTCGAGGACCAGGTCTTTATATGCTTGTTGAGTCTCATAATCTCCATCATATATAAACAGAAGACTGCATCGCTAGAACCGATATCCTTTCAAACGAGAGATAATACGAGCAAGTCCATATAGCTTCTGCAGTAGCGTAGGGATCTGATAGGCAAGAAGGCGATCTCCATTATGTAGAAAAGATGCGAGCTTTGCAGGAAAGTCTTCCGGACGGATTTCGCGATCGATGTATTTATCTTGAGTGATGTAAGTCGGGCTCTTGATATTCCAAACCTACCAAAAAAGGAGATCCGTTTAACAAGAGGCAAACGCCCGATTGACAATACATACCTGCATACCACAAATCCTTACACCCAGGGACCTACTCATTGTACGATCGCATTTCTTTCGCTGACTCTTCTTGTTCACGGGCGTTGCATCCATGCCGTGCTGGCGGATTCCCATCTTCAGATCCATCACACACGGATGCTTTAGCCGTCCAGTTAGATCTTCCATGAGGATGAAATGATTTTGTCGAGAGAACTCTGAATCCAAATCATGCTTAGGTCCTTCTTCTCCATCGTCAAGTTGTTTTGGATTCACATCGTTCGTGGAGAGTTCTGGCTCCTTGAGCGGAGGAATCCTAATCGGAGAAGTCAACGTCATTCGATGAGGGCGCTCATCTAATGATCTATACCGGCTACGCTTCCGGAGAGAAGGTGGTAATTCAGTTGTATCTAACTCAGAGCTAGTTAAATTTGCCCACTTGTGACTTCTCAGTGGCGGCAGACTACCTTCGACGTCCATGTCGAACAGACCCACCTCGTGATAAAATTGTTCCTGTCCCCGAAGATCTTCAATCTGTTGCTCATAAGCTATAGCCTGAAGCTTAGAAGGCGACGCTATCATGATTTCGTTTTGCACCCTCCGCAATTGGCTATGTTCAGAATCTCGCAGACGATCCAATGAATCGCCAGCGATTTTTCGCCCACGTCGCCTTCGGGTTTTACTGGAAGAGTTGTCAAAATCAGAAGCATCACCCTCCGCATCAGCGACCTCTCCGGCGTCATCCACTATACACGTGTCTCCTAACCAGCGGCCACCAGAACGGCGCTTCAGACGACGAAGCACAATGCTGAAGACGTGATCCTTTAGCTTGGTATTGACCATAGTAGACCCACGGCCTCCGAACAACGGTGAGGGCATATGCTCTGAATGAAACGAAGGAAGTTCCGGTCTACATCCAAACCCATCATCCTCGTCCGAAGCAGATTTGACCAAAAAAATCCTCCTCTTTTCCTTTTCGGGAAATCCTGGACGCAACCCATTCGTTAGAATTTTGGGCGAATTCGCTGGAGTTGGTGCGGACATTTCGCTAGAAACAAAAGGAGGATAGCGCGCTAGGGGACTAGGCTTAAGCATACCTGACCCGAAATCGAGGCTGGCAAGATTAGGGCTGGAGGATGTACCTCGGTGGAGGGTCTGACAATTGAATCTTCGCACAGCGGATGGCACGCCTGCAACAGTGTATTGGGAAGCAGAGCGGCTACGTGAGCCACGAAGCATCCATTCAGGGACGATATGCCGGTTGCGGTCCAACACGACCTCAGGCATCTCGGATTCGTCTGTGTCTGTATACTCTTCATTGTGTTTACCCCCGGCTGAAGGTCGGTCTGTCGCTGCTTTTTGCAAGGGAGGTCTAGGTGTCTTGGCCTCTTCGTGACCATCCACGGAAGGTTTGAGCTACAATGTAGCACTTTTCAAAACACGACGGTATGAGACAAGCATTACGTCAAGGTATCGCGGGAGGAAGCGAACCTTCCATACAGCGTTTCGTAAAATTGTAGATGGCGCTGTGACCACCAACTTGATTACGAAAGGGCCGCAGTCGAATGTGAGGAAGGGTATCCTGGGAGATGTTGAGGCCCATGTCCAAGAGATAAGTATTTTCAGCACCGTCGGCATCTGTGTAATGGTGATAAGGTGTATCTGGAGAAGGGAAAGTGGTAGAGGTAGTTCCTGAGGCAAAATCCCAACCAAACTCGTCGTGGGTAGATCAGGGCGACAGTGTGGCAGAATCATAATGAGGTGCAGCTGATAAATATAAATGCGGAGAATGGACTGCCGTTAACTGTTGAGAACGTGAAGATGAGCGGTGAATAACATTTGCTAGTTCCAGTTGTTCTAACAATCTCCACCAAGGTAATGGGGAAATTATTTCATCCTCGGTACGTTCACGTCGTCGTCCGCGGTCAATGCCATCATCTCATTTGCTAACGTCTTTCCGCCATTGATTCAAGTCAGTGACAGACAGCTTTCTTTCCTGAGCCTTGTTATCTCCTTGCTGTTTGTGATCAGAGCTGGCCAACTTGAAGCTTTCTCTCGTCCTGACTCTGTGTAGCGTAACCGTACTTTTGTCTCTCCTGAGCACGACCACCTCACGGTCAGGCCATTCTGAGCGCTTCACGAATTCGAATTTAGGCTGTGCAACGTCTCCGCTATTTCCGAGGGAAGCTGATCGCTGGTGATGGTCTGTTGAAGGATGAACATCATTGGTCTGTGAATCGCCTTCGGTCTTTGTGAAGAGTTGTAGAGTGGCAGCGACTTGTCGGCCAATCCAGGAAGTTGATGAATGAATGGGAAGAGGAACAGCGGGTGCCGAAGTCGACGATGATAAGGAAGACGAAGACCCGATAGACGGGGAAGGAGTCCTTCGGAAGATCGGGCGAGAAGGACAAAGCTTAATCTGGCCAGCGGTTGGCGGTAGAGTTAAAGCGCGAAATTTGCCTGCGACAGAATGCTTTCGACGATGAGAAGAGGACTTTTCTGTCAGATATCCATCTGAATTTGTTCCATCTCCATTCAGACGTTGACGCGAGGAACTCAGATGAGAGCCTGGAGAAGTCCTAAGCCATTTTCCGGAAATTTCGAACAGAAAAGAGGCAGTGCGAGGGGAGAAAATAGGCTGGCTGCATGTGGATGAAGGGTAGCGGAATTGGGATTGCTTCGACTGCCTGAAATCAGCAGCAGCAGAACCCATAGACAAGGGTCCTGTGATGAATATCGATAAAGATCACCGTGTAAATATAAGCTTCGGATAGTTTCCGTTATCTCCCAAGCGCAACCATCTTTGATATCCGCAATAGATACTGTCGATTCGGTTCCTGCGATGCTTTATGCTGGAGAGGTAGAAATACTTGATCATCCCGTTGGGACGCGCGGTATGTTTGCTCTGAGTGTCGCGAGGAAAGGGATGTGATTTTGTACGTGCACGACGGCGGTAACCTTTTTTAGATGATCCAAGCATTCGGAAGGATTATCTACAGCAAGTAACAGCATATGCATAGTACGCCAATGCAAAATTCAATATCTAGTAAAGAGGTATTATTCAGGAAAATAGATGGATTCAAGGAGCATAAACTGACATCAAGATTCGAAGACTCTATTTTCTTCAGAGCCTCTTCCATCCTTTCCGATACCAGAATAGATTCATCGCCGAGTTCCAGTAGATATTCTTCTAGTCGTAGAGGTTGATACTGATCTTCGTCTGTAAAGTTGGCAATGAGCAAGAGAGATAAAAAGGAACTTTCGCTGCGTCTACCTAACCTTCGCAATGCTTGTTGAATTTGCGAATAAGCTCCGACCAAGAAAAAGGAACGCCATTGAATGCTTTGGCTGGCGATGAGAACGACCAATGGCCGGCTGCGAGGGCTGCTCAAAACTGACTCGGTTAATGTCGGTCCTTGGTTGACATTTGGAGAAAGATAAGTCACCTTGCTTGCATAGGTCCTTTTCCATGTCAGTTCGTTTAGCGCGCGTGAAGATTTTACCACGCTTTCTAAGATCCTCTCCCTTATTTGTAACTGCGAAAACACTTCAAAACAATCGCTATTTCACAGCGCGTTTCCCGCCGCCAATTCACCCCTCGAAGTTGTGATTTCACAACCTTCAAGTGCGTGGGCTTATTTGTATCAATTTATCATCTGAAATCCAGCTCAGCATGCCTGATGAATGTGTTCACGCACCGTGCAGCGTACAGTCTCTTTTCTCAGATGACTTTGGTCGACGATATCGCACTTATCAACAGCGTGGACGTCACAACCACAGATGACCAAGTTGTTCATATTGCAAACTTGTAAGACCTGGGTCAGAATAGGTCTTAGGATAGGTTTTGGTATATGAAGGTTTACGTTGTAGCGTGCTAGGAGCAGGCTGGAGCTCAAAGGGAGCTACGGAAACCGCGACCGAGCACGGGAATGACCTAGTAGTGACTGGGATTGAGAGATGTGACCCTTGGAGGGGTTTCTGTAAGGTCCAGGGAGGTCCCTAAGGCGTAAGATAGAGGAGGTGGAGGTACAGAACCTAGTAGCGTTGCGTAAGAGGAGTTGTACTCACTAGAACATCAACATGAGATTGAATTAGGTCGTATAGAGATTAGGTCTTGAGTGTATAAGCTCCTGAGAAGGTATATGCCCGGAAGGGGAGGTCCCGGGAACTGGGGTTGGAGGTGGACGTCCTCGAGCATTGGAGGTGGTAACGGAGAAGCGGCAAGTAGTTCGACGTTACCTAGACTGAGGGCCCAGAGCTTATGGAGCAATCGGGGAGCTCAAGGAGGTTTTGGGGAGGTTAGCTCACCAAGGCGGTAGGCATTGGGGAGCTTTAGTATTGTTTGAGGGAGCTCGGAGACTCACTCGGGTTGCTTAGACGTGAAGTTAAAGCGTGTATTGGATTGTATAGACGATTGAAGAGACGATAGACAGAGTTGAGAGAAACAGAGATAAAGAAATAGAGAGTAGAGAGAATTCCATATAGGTAGCAGGTACAAAGGGACAGGGACCGGACCTATGTTAAAGGGTGTGTGCTCAAAATATACCAAGCTGGGGCTTGGGGACATTGCGGTACTACTTAAATAGGTACGGGAAGTGAACATGGGAGCATTTAGGGAATCTGGTATGTGTGAGGTAACTGATCGAGATTAGGGCTAAATGGGGTTTGTTGCGGCGGAAGGTCTATGGAATGATGTATCATGGGAACTCGGGGTGTATTGTCGAGGCTGGGTTGAGGCGGGGAGGCTTATGGAGGACCCGGGAGATCCTGGGGCGAGTGAAGCAGTTCCATGGGAAGTTAAGAAACTGGGAGGGAGGTTCTTCTGACGGAGGGGAGGTTCTTCAGAGTCGGTCAGGGGTATGGTGGGTCGGTCAGGGCATGACAAAACTTCAGCCACCTGGGTTCCACCTTCCTCAAAATGCCATCAATTGCGATGACCACCAATCCCGACAGCGCTTTGTCTTTCTTACGTGTACGTTCAGTGGGCGACAGGTACTGTCATGTAATGAAATTCGACCATTTCGGTACTGCTGACCCGAAACCAGACTTTATCGAAGCCCACAGTTGGAATATGAGCTATCATTTGAATACCACCAGCTTCATGTACATGCCTTTAGGTACGAACCACTCAAAATTTGAATACATCATTGCGCCACAGCTGTGGGATTCGATGATAGCAAAGTTGATTACATTGGGGCGGCTTGAACAACGATCTCACTTAAAGTAAGCCAATCCTCTTTCCATTTTTCCACATTACTGACATGGTTGTCTAAACAATGTCAGCGGTGATATGTCAATATTGTGCACCCAAGTTCTGTCACGCGCGGAAGTGTTTGAGGAGATGAAGAAGAACCCAATGTGGGCTACATATCACAGTATACTATCAGCAGCAATCCAAACCGGCTGCGTCTTAGGATTGGATACAGCCCACAAACTTTTTACACTGTTCTTCACGATTTTAGAACATTATCAGGGATCATTGCTGGTTAGTGCATTCCACGTCACATGAGGCAGATTCTTACAATCCAGTGACAAGACCATTGAGGATAATGCAAGTAACGCAACTAGCAGCTCGATCACACAAGTTTCACTAATGTTGTCAATACCCAGAGGCCAAATCAATCTGGCGGAGTTACCTGGTTTGCAGAGATGGTTGGATTTTTTCAGAAGCAGTAACGTGTTGTTCAACATGATTGTATTAGAATGAGCACTGCTGTTTTAGTACCGATACATACACTCCCGAAGAAAGCTTCTTTTCATAGGCATAGTTGCACACTGGAAGAATTCTATGTTATGAATTGTACATTGTGAGCTCCAGCTGTGTCGGTCCATGTATATAAGAGATGAACAATGTAACCAAGCAAGGTGTAGGTCCCCGCAGGGGTACACTAGTTGTAGTGACTAAGTTAAGTTAGAGCTCATCCATCATAACTCACGTGGGTACATCACAGTCTCACTGATCATGTCAGGGCTGACGGTGATAAGATAATCTGGGAAAGATTATCTTTTGCAGCCTTGTCTTGCTTGGAATTTTTCTGCTATTGTCAAATTCCTTATCTCACTTTGTCAGTTATGAGGATGCCCAATGTATCTTTGACTAATTTCTCTATCATGTCTACAGAACATTCAGGACGTGTATTTCTAATGCCCTTCCCTAGCAGACATGATTTAACTCATGATATACCAAGGAATTCAGTTGAATTACACAACTCGTCCTCTTTGAATTCATCATCTTTTACTTGGATCCAACAAGATCCACCAATTATCCACCAAAAATAACACCGTCATACCCACTATACCAAAGTCCGCTCTGATAACAGAATACCTTCAAAGAGGAAAGCCTTATCATGGTTGTCTTCTCCATAAATTTGTACAGTAAGTCATACTCCTGTTTTCGTTCTTGCTCATCCCAAAAGACCTACTGTTCTTCGACTTACAAACTCTTATTACTCTATCACTCCTTCAGTACATCCCTTTTCTATCCGGTCCAGTGCCCCTGCTCTGTGCTCCTGGGATATGCATCTCAACAACGGAGATGACAACAACATGATCCAGGCTGCCTCACTTCACCATAAACACACAGTGAAGAAAAGACCCCCGACTTCAAAAAAAAACTGTTTTCTTTCACCACAGGCTCAAATACTAGGAGTTGCAAAAGAATGATCAATATGAAGCCTGGAAAAAGAGGGGCTGGGAGACTGAAATGGAAATAGACGAACCAGTACGTTACGCAATTACTGTCTGATGTTACATACTCATTCATTCAGATGCCCTAAAAAACTCCTCTCCATAAACCTTTTGTTCCTCCTATCCTCCCTCAACAACACCTAAACCCTCTGCTTTTTAAATTTTCTTAACATCTATCTGTTATTCCCAATTTTTTTTTGAGATCTTGTTTAACATTTATCACATCTACCATCCACCTAATTCTACCATATTGATTGATGTGAAACGACCACCAGAATGTATCAATTATATTATATCTGCTCTCTGGGTAGATTTCTTTGTTTGCAGTTGGTTGTTTCCATTCTCAATAATTTCCGTAGGCCCTTTTGATTGGTTATCAATGCCTTTATCTCCCTACCAGCTTACTGGGTTGATTAGGTGTATATTATCCTCCTCTGGCAACTCTGATCCACCTCATATCTTTACAAGCAAGTTATTGGCCCACAACTCATTTCACACTCTCCCTAGGCGAGCATGAAAAACGGCCTGTGATTATCTGGGCTGTTATTGGAACTACAACGAGCGCCAGCTGAAGTGTGCAGATCTGGGTTACAAGTAATCTCTGGTGGGAATATCCCAGTGGTGGTCCTGGTAGACCTCCAAGTGCAAATGGTAATGGTACATCTGCAAAAGCTGTATGTTCGGCTAAATAGCTGAAAGCAGCTCAGAGCACTTGGCAGCACTTCCCAGCAGCGAAAGCACCCAGGGCAGGCTTTGATATTTGCTTTGTGTGCTTTCGTCGCTGGAGAGCACTCTCCAGCTAGTATCTTTGCTCTGGCAAGTACACATGTTTTGCAGATGTAACAGCAATGGGGGTATACGCGGTTCAAATGAGAATGTAATTGATTGCCACAAGTGGAAAGGTGGCAAGTGGCGAGGAAGAAGATGAGATTGGAGCGACATGGTGAACAAATATATGTTGTCGGCGGACATGGTGTACTATACCATGGCTTGGGCAGAACAATTTAAGAGAATGTGATGATTCAAAACCTTAGTCAAAGATACAGATTTTGCAGATAAGATGTAAATGTATTATCATTGAATAGACTTGGCATAATGATGAAACTTATAGCTGTTTCTTTTAATTCCCATACTTACTGAGAGGGCAAGGGAAAGCTTTTAAATGCTCTGTTGAAGCGTGATTTCTTGTTTTTAGTCAGAGCATCACTCTATTTGAATGGTGATTCATTTGTAAAAACTGTATGTTCGATTTTTACTTTGGGTGCTTTTGTCGCTGGAGAGCGCTCTCCAGCTAGTATCCTTGCTCTGGCGAGTAGACATGTTTTGCAGATGTTGGCCTCCACTGTCATCAAGTGTTCGGCACCTGCCACTTGTGGCCTTTCCCCCAGTTAACAACAACTTTTCCCAGCCACATCTAAAGTCATATACACAGCTATACAAAAAAGCCAAAGAACAACCTCTGTAATGGTTCCAACACTCAATCAGGACTCTTCTGTTTCAGGTTCAAATTTCCAAGAATTTGACCAGCAAGCTCCTGCTGAGCCTCATACAACCGGTCATTATCATCAACCATAATGAGGCTGATGACAACTGAGACAATATCGGCAGAGCATGGAGGAGGAAAGGAAGAGAATGACAACAAATTGGAAAGAAACAGAGATTCTGCAACTGTTGCTATGGGAAGCTGTGCACCCTCCCAATAGTCAATATTGCTGCTTGAAAATGAGGCAAGGGTTTGATAAAAACCCAACTGATTGCTAACTGAAGAGACATTAGAACAACATATTGAGGTTTAGTAAGGTTGAACACATCACAAATGTAACTCCCAATGAGGTACTCCCAATCCAACATGACAGAGTTTATAGCAGGAATCGCTGGAATGTGATCTGAGGACTGAACAAAAGAAGCACTGATGGAGCGGAAGCTTCAGGAATCCTGGATAGACATCCATGTATACTGTATATTTTGGGATGCTCAGAAAGGCATATTGAAGGGAACAGCCATAACCTTAACCGTTATGTCAAGTCTACTTGCAGGAGAATTAGCTGGATAATCTATCCACAATTTATCTTCAAAACCTGTATTTTTGGCTAAGGATCTAAAACCAGTTGAGAGCATTTGCCAGCAGTGAGAGCACTCAGAGCAGCCTGCTCTCAGTGTTTTTGGTACTAGGATCTGCTCTCAGCCCTTGGCCAAATATCCATGTTCTGCAGATGAAGCTCAGGCTGACTGATTTGCTCTGTTTTGTACAAGACTCAGAAATCAGTAAATTTTAATTGTAAGTTTTTTTGGCATTCTACTTAATCTAGGTCGGTATAGTAGATAAAAGACTTCCAGACTACTGTGCTCCATGTCATTTTTCTGAGGATCATGATTTGTAGCTGGAATTTGGAACCAGGAGGGTGAGCTGCAGACATGTGACACTAAGCATGAATCATCCGGCAATTCCCACATCAACATAGATGATGGCAATTATAACAGGCATGCCATCATACGGATACATTCCCATTGGCAGCGGCATTGGCGCTGGCATCGGATATGGACCATAAGGCACCATCGGCATATTGGGATAACCACCGGGGTATATCGGAGTTGCTGGTAGGGCAGGCAGAGCAGTTGCAGATGTCGACGGAGTAGTTGGTGAAGTTGGCTTCTTTATGGCCTGACTAGCATGGAATAGTGCAGATGAAAGCGGAATTTGAGTTCAGCTAATGCCCAGTTTATTGTCTCTCTAGTGGAAATGAATGAGGTTCGATATAACAAAACCATATAAAGATAACATACAATGTCACGGGCCCAGACTAGAAGACATCCACGGGTCAGTTCAAAATAGAGGTTGCTGGGACGGTAATGAAAGCAAGAAATGGTTGGGTCATGCTCACACTTTCCTACTGGATACAGTGACTGAAGTTGCTGCGTAATGCCTTCTAATTCATCATCGATCTTTCCCTAAACGGGTGTAAGCATTTTGATGAGCAAATAATGTATGTAAAATACCTTCTTTGCTACGGGACCCAGAAAGTCATCATCGGAAGTCTCGTCTTCATCAATCACAGATTCAACAGTAGGAGGGATGATCGTTTGAACAGGTTTCTTCATTTGAATAATGACGTAAGCCTCATCCTTTGCATGCTTTTTCCTCAACTTACCAAGCATAGACTGATAACCCTCCTCCGTATTAATAGGAAGCCAAGGACCAGTCGCTGGTGAAAGAAAATGCCACTCAAATGACTGAATGCAAAGGCCAGTGACAGGAGTGGGAACAAGACCAGCAATTTTAGAAAGGAAAGCAGCGTAGTCAGTCTCTGAAGAGACATAGATTGGCCCTCGCTTCTCAGGTTCCTGTTTTGTAGCTTTGCCTTTTGTTTTCTTGAGTTTACCAGCAACAGGGCGGTCTGGCTTTATGAGGTGCAAGAGGAGCTCAAAGGTAAATGAAGATACTACCAGAATAATCTTGCTATGAGAAGCAGCAACAGGAGCCTTTTTAGGACGACCGCGGCCCCGTTTGATAGAAACAGGCTGGGCAATAGGTTCTGGGTCTGCGAATTGCACTTCTTCATCACTTGACAATTCGACAGGAGCAACTAAGTGATATTCTATTCAATGAGCGTGTTGAATGGCATAGGAATTTAACAGACCTGGAGTGACGGCGTGCAATCCATAATTGACAGTCCTCGGTGTATACACTTCTTCGACTACATAAGGTACAAAAGTGCTATTCAGTAAACGAGGCAACAATGCATTGAAAATGACTCACGTATATTAGACGGATCTGGTAAGGAATCTTCTGAAGATGCGCGGTGGGACCGAAAAGGTTCAGCATCCTTGTTGAAGAAGGTATCCAGTTCAGGTAGCCTTGGCAAGGTCAATGAACCACGGGTATGCTGGGTATGGCAGCGTCCAGGTTCAGAATTGAACAACAAGTTCCCACGTGGAGGGTACATATACTGATATCGAGGAGGAGAGCATGAAGGTACCCTTGGAAACATGACGGGGTCTTGGACAAACGGTGCAAGCAAAAAAACGGCGGAAAGGAGAGAGAGGCAGAACGTACTCTATTCATTACGCGTTCTTACCCGACGTCAAGGCTTGGGTACCTTTTTATTTTTCCCGCTACCTCTTTAGAGGTTGAAGGGTCTTGTAGAGCGAGCTTTTTGATTTTGCGATCAAATGGCTCATCACGTGCATTTTAGCAAACACTTTTTAGTCATTTCGTAAACTTACTTTTACGTGCCTCTACAATTTATTCTCTCTTCTATGAGATTGACAAATGGTCTTTTGTTTCGTTTATTCTATGTACTGTAGTGTTTACAATCTATGCTAATTTTTTTATTTTACTGTAGATGCTTTTGTCAATGGCACTCTGAGGGGCACTGGAACCCAATACAGCCATATTGTTAATATTAGTTCAGACGCATTCGCTCGCTCTACAACTGAAATGTAATAACTATAAAACCAGACCGTTGACTGGGTAGCGGGCCCTGCCGCTTGCCGGCGCTACTTGGTTATATTTTATTTTATGAGCTCATGTAAATTTCACGAATGTCATCATTTTCCGAACACGCTGTAAGTCAACATCGAATTTGTCAGAATAGAAATTAGAAGTAGTAGGCTCAAAAACAAGATTTACATTACAGCTTATTAGCAGTCCACTGCAAAGTCACTCTACGTTGCAAAGATCCCCGATTTTCTTAAAAAGTCAGCAGCTCCACTCACTGAGAAATGTATATGGAGAGCTCCACCTATTGAATTTTCGAGTATATGCTTGGCAGTTTTCTGTCCAAGAAAAGTAGTTTGCCGTGCGTTGCTAATAAGCTCTATTAATTCAACTCTTGAAAAATGAACAACCCCTGCATCTTTGTTGCTCTTTTTTTCTAACTCATTTTTCAATCTTAAATTTAGACTGTTTGAACACAAAGATATAGTAATTTTTTGAATATCACTATGACATATACTGAATGGTTCAATCAGTTTTCTACATCTATGGGATCCACAGCTTACATACATACTAAATGTTAGTTTCAAGAAAAATCTACATACATATCCTCATTGACCTGACCTTCTTCAAATTCTTCGGGCGTTTCTGTATCAAAACGTACGCGTTTAACTGCTTTGCCTGTACCAAGTGATTCGGATGAATTTCGTTTTCGTAAGGTGGGTGATGTAAGAGGTTTAACAGTTTGTTGACGGAGTTCTTCTAATCTTTTTTTCTTGGTTTCAGCAACAATCTTTGCCTTGGCCATAGTCTGTTCAAGACGAAGTACCTCCTCTCGTCGAGCGAGCTCTCTTGCTTCTTCCGCAATATGCTTTTCTGCGGCTTGACGTTCTAATTCATTTGACCGTTTGACAGCTTCAGAGTGAAACATTACTCGAATATCGTCCTCATCATCAGGAAGAACGGCAATTTTACGGATGATATTGGAACATATTCGGTTTGGTTTGTTGATTGCCTTTCCGTTAGCAGCTTTGGTAATATCCCAACTGGAAATATTCAGTGTCGTGAATTAAATATGTTATGTCTGTGCCTACATATGGAAATTGAATTCCACTTGTACGATTCGTCCACATGTTAGAACATTTTCATAATCCATGGGGTGAATCAGCACTCCTTGTGCGTCGTATACTTCGGGGATATGCATCTGAACCGATGACAAATCATGTTTTTCTGCCAACGATCTAATGAAACCCTCTGAATCCGGCCAGTGACCTAATACTCTCTGCGTGACTGGAACCGCTACGAACTGGTAAATCGGTGAATTTGTGGATGATGAACAAATCAAACGAACCATTAACAACAACGTTCGTTTCTAGCGCTCGAAGATTTTGTTGTTTTTCCGCTTTACGTAGTTTTCCTTTGAATAATTCGAACAATTCAGCTGGCGTTTGAATTGATTTCGACTAATACTTACTAGGATCAGGTAGTTGTCCGCGAACATTCATCATACTTGAGGATTGTCTTGTTTTCCGAGATGGAACGTTTTGAAAAATATTCGCGGTTTTCCCTTGCAAACCATAATGTCCGAGATCGTGCAGTTCTACAAAGGTAGACATATTGATTTCTTGTGTCGGATACAGTTTCTCTTATTGCTGTGTTAGTATAACCTTTCTGTACAAAGGATTAATACTTACTGTCCATAGCTTTCACGGAGTCAAGGTAGTTCGATGTTATAGCTTGCAAACAATTCAATAATGTTTGAAACCGTGTGGAATGAGATTGATAAATTAGCTTTATTTCTTCAGTAGAATCCTGTGGAGTATAAACTTCGTTGAAAAATAACCGAGCTGAGGCTCTTCGAAAAGAATCCAGGCTTATCTGCGAAGCATTAACGGTCACTGTTGTAAAATGAACTGTATGGGACGGCGTACTTCTTGATTATAGATACTCATGTCTAGATATTCTCCACATTTAAGATCATCTGCGTAAGAGCTAATTTGAGCCACCACTGCGATCGTTATCACGTTTCTCGAAGGATCAACAAGCCATAATCCTCCACGATCTCCCATCGAAGGAACTCGTTGTATGGAGATGGTTGAAGGTTCCGGAATCTGTGATTTCGAGAAAATGTTGTTATAGAACTGCATAGCAATCGCTATCGGTGTAATAGTTTCAATATGCTCATTGACGATTTGTTCCACCTGGTCATATAGAGTATCCCGAGCGGAAAAATCGAGATTTTCGAACGAGTTTATTGGCATAACATCATTCTGCGCAATCAATATTAATCACTTGAGTCAAAAAATCATTCTTAATTTGAGGTACCTGCAGATCATTTGTATCTTCGGAATCGACTTTGTTGAATGAATTTCATATCACATGTTAATTTGAACGCAACACCAAAACTCACCTTCAGAGCGTAAATCTATCTCAGGCATCCTTAAGAGTAGTTGGATTTGTGTGAACGAGGTATAGGTTTACTTTTATAGGTCGATATTCATGTTTCTCACGATATACTTGTACGACACATGTAGAAAGTTCGCGATCAACTTGTTGATGAATTTGTGAACGGACATAGCGCACAAGGTGATGGCGTCTTCAACATTGCTTATTATCTTAGGATGTAACAACACCTTATCAGATACAATGCTTTGCGAAAAGGTTTGCTTGAATAGATTTTTTACCAAGTGTTTATTGTTGCTTATATGTCCAATACATTTTTGGGACCAGAGTCGAGAGCTCAGAGGGCTCTGTTCGAACCACCATCGCTACTTGTAGGAATGATTGTTTGATATGGTCAGGGTCGAAGATAAAGTACTCCAAGACATAAATGTTCAATTGGCGTCCAGTATACTGTAGGAATAAACGGAATTTCAGGGGATACACAATTTGTTTATGAACTCTAGCTACGGTCTGAGTGCCGAAAAGAATTGTCCACGGATTCGTTCTCTCTTCTAGCTTTCTGAGCACTTACATTTTTTCTACACATGTTCCTAAATATTTCTATTACCAACATATCTTCCTCTTTATTTTTACACGTCCTCATGATGAAATAAATCTTATCGTTGTTTTCTTCGTGAAACTAGAAAAGTATGAAGTTTGCTTTGAAGTGTAAGCTAAGCCTGAGCTTAATTCACGATAGAATGTATAATTTATTGCATTGTAGATTGTTTCTTTTGCTGATATGACTCTAACTAAATATACACTGGTATTACTACATTTTCGTTTTAAGATTGCGTCCTTGGAATGGAGGTAATCTACGCATGATTGCGTTTATGTAGATCAATGTGAATTTTCTCATAGCTTTTTAACCAGATTGTACATATAGCACCGTATTATTTCTTCCTCGTATTCGACAGCTGCCTTGCATCGGTCCTCACACTTGAAAATGGTAAAGAAAGGTATCAAATCTCAGCGAGCCAGTCGCAATTCAATCGCTTCTGCACAACGGTTACCTGTCCATGTACGAATCGCAGATCATAACGATATCGATCTGCTTCGTGATCTTTTCATGGATTTCAAACGGCGTACACGAAGGGGAAAATTGGTCACTTTCATGAAGTCAATAATGCAATGGGTAAGCTGGACAGCGTGAGTATTCATGCTTCCTTGTAACCGTTAACATGAACTAATTTGTAACAAGTCCTATTCAGCAGTCTATTTCAGGAACCATGACTGCTGTTTGCCCTATCAATTATGTGAATATGCTCGGTTATAAAGGTCCAATTTGTGCACATATCACCAACGGTTTTCTAACCGAAACTGAATGTACGATGTTGATACGGACGTACCGTTCACATGGGAGGACACGGTATGAATTTGTGGCTCCACATTTTGGATGTGAATTTCGAAGTAAATAAAACATTTTCTGGCGTTGCGTAATACCACGAACTGAACTTTATCTACAGTGAAAGTTTCATGGAATGAGGAAAACATAACTGATTTGAGTGCATCATTACATGACTCTACTGAAACCATTGGTAAAAAGTATGTGTTACAGTGTCGAAATTTGCTAATTGCATTAATACCCAGATATGGTTCGTTCAGCATACTTGTCTGGACGACAACTGTCGACTGTATCATCATCTTCAATTCAAGAAGTAGAAGAAGAATTACTTCACATTGGTACAGATGTTCCCAAATTATGCTCATGCTGGTCTGATTTAAATCATTCAGAAGGAACAAATAGTATGGAACTCGTTGCCCGTCGCAAACCGCGAATAATCACAACAGGAATGTTAGAGTCATTTTACAGTGAAGAAAAGGCGACGCAAAGAAGATTTCCAGGTAAGTTGATGTTAAGTACACTAGAAAGATCGTGATCGGTACCAAATATTGCAGATGTCGATTTGATCGAAGTTCTGCGCTCTGCTTTTCGAGATGGAGTATTTCGGAGTAAGTTATTATCATGTTTTGCTACCTTTCTTGGTTTGAACATGATTTTTAAATTAATTTATGTACCAATAATTGCCTGAAGAATATCCTCGGTTGCATCCAGCATATGATTCACAAATTACGCCCATTTTATTGCTTCAATTTGATCCCAACAAAACCTCAGGATCAACCACTTTTTTACATCTACAATACTATGACACAATTGTGGGAAAGCTCATTAAGAATCTCAACAGCACGATTGGAATCAAGCAGAGCATGTTCGACAATTTACTGATGCATAGCCAAGTATGTGCTGGTTGCCGGTGTGAATTTTCATGGGATGGATATGAGAGTCACTTGAATATAGGACCTATTGGATGTCGATGTATGAACACTTCAGGAACTCCTATCGGTAAGTATTTGCTTCGATTTATGATCGAAACAAATAAACTCACTTCCGTCGTGTTACTGAAGTTCCGATGGGTCGTCCTCGACGACTGTCTTTTAGTGAAATTCAGCCCGGAATTTCTGAGGACAGTGAAAAACGTCCTTTCCGTGATTCTTTAAATACTTCAATTGGTCGACCTTATTTGGAATGGAATTCTCGCCTGGGAATACGTTCCGATGTTTGGACTATCGTCACCACAGCAGTGACACAATGTTCAGTATGTCATTTAATCCGCACTTTTCCAGGCCATCAAAATCATCTATCGAATGACGGATATTGTGTTGGTGTTGAAATGGATGTCGACGAAGTAATAGAAGAAACCATCTATGACAAAGAAGATCCAATATCAATTTCAGAGGTTGGAAAAGGAAAACGTAGAGAATGAATGTGGTTAGTATGGACTATACAAAATGAACTGTATATGGCTGTGTTATTGAATGTTTTCATATCTCACATTGAGGTGTTTTATGGGTAGACGACTTCAGGTATGTGGGGATATGGACAATATTCATTTGAAATCCATATGTGCGAAAGAGGCCTGTCCGGGTCCGCTAGTGGGTTTAACACCGATAACAGGTGAGGCTTCGTTTGGGAGCGACGGTAAGTAGTGCTGCAACTGCATCGTACAACTCATTCTCAACCAACACATTGTTAAATATCTGCACAAGGTTCGGTTGACTAATGTTCGCGATCGAGGTACACATAGAAAATGTGGAGTATGAGTAAAATGAGTAAGGAGTTTGACCCTACACAGTTCAGTGAATTAAGTATGATTTTTGTAAAGATGAAAGATGAAGACGAACGAGAATAGTCAGAGCAGACAATCGGGTCCCATTCACTGTCTTGAAATATTGTCTTAAAATATTGTCTTTCCCCAATGAAAATCATAACAAGTTTTCTGTCGTCTGTTCTACTTGTACATCCGTGTTAATCAATCAAGTCACAAGAACGACTTCTGAAAGACACAAACAATTTTACTCACAAGGGCACGGCAGTATTCTCATCCGCTGAACTTTTGAGAAATTCGCGTACAAACTCTCATTACTATCCGCAGAAACATATATCACACCAGGTAGAAAGCCTTCTGTTAGGAATTAACCAGCGGGGTTTTGCACTTGACGTGGAAGGAATCAACTGGAGACAGATACAGCAGAATAGAGTGAGAAAGAAAAATGAGAACGAACAATATTTGTATCCGGAAGCTGCCGATAAAAAACACGTTGACATTGACTGCTCCTGCCATTAAACAGCTGTTTGTACACTGCTACCGCGTGACAGAGCGAACAGGATTAAGGCATAACGAGGTTACACGGCCCGTAATCGCAAAGAAAAATGCATGCGACCGCACCGCTGACCTCTGCTAACCCAAAAGTTCTATACATCCATGCATTTAACAAGATGACTGGGAGGAAAGACCGCGTACGGCAAGGGCCAAACCTTTAATATTACAACTAAATAGCCACAACCACCATGCTATTGACTTTTTGCACAAATAAAATCATCAAAACAAGCCTCAATGGGATGTTAGAGTAGCTCAATTCATTTATTACCAAACATTTCACAATGTCTTAATTACCCTCCCTGTACTAATTTAAGTAGATAATGTACAGTGATTTAATCCATGAAACATACTCAATCTGACTATCCTACAGGTAAAATGGACAAAACAATCTCCTGAGATACACAGTACTACTAGTAGAACCCTTATGATGTTTTCAATAAGCCCTATTAGTAATAAGGTATACATCTGCAAAACCTGTATACTTGCCAGAGCAAGGATACTGGCCAGAGAGTGCTCTCCAGTGACAAAAACACCCAAAGCAAAAATCAAAGCCTGCTCTTGGTGCTTTTACTGGGAAGTGCTCTGAGGTGCTCTAAGCTGCTTTCAAAAGCAAGGTTTTCGACTTGCTCTGGGTGATTTGGCTGCCAGGAAGTGCTCTCAGCTGGTCTCAAATGATTAGTCAAAGATACATATTTTGCAGATAAATAGAACAGTGGTAAGGAAATCTTCACACTAAGCAGGTTCAAATTTTCAGAACAGATTAATTGTAAGACCTGGGTCAAAATTAGTCTTAAGAGTGCATTTGGTATAAGGGATTTATGTTGTAGCGTACTAGGAGCAAGCAGGAGCTTGAAGAGAGCTACAAGAACCACGACCAAGGACAGGAATGACCCTTGAACAGGTTCCTAGTAGGTCCTGGGACACCCCTAGGACATTAACCAGTAGGCTAAAGGTAACCAGAAGCTAGAGAGCATCAGAATGTTGCATACTACAAGTTATAGTAGATAGGAGCATCAATGTACATCTGTAAAACCTGTATTTTTGGCTAAGAGCTCAAGAGCAGCTGACAGCACTGCTGGGAGTGCTTTCAGTGCTGGACAGCGCTCTGCAGCTAGGACCCTTGCTCTCGTGAACATCCAGGTTTTGCAGATGCAGAATCATTGTAAACTGTAACCAATGTTGGTTCTGAGCATGAGAGCTCTCGATGGGGTGTAAACCCGGGAAGGAGGTTCAGAGAAGTGGAAGTAGGGCTGACACTGTCAAGTGTTGGAGGTAACAACAGAGAAGCAGCATGTAGTTCGATATTACCTAGGTCAAGATCCCAGAGCTCATCAACCATTTGGTGAGGTCGGCAAGGTTTGGGGAAGGTTGGCTCACCAAAACAATAGACGTTGGAAAGCTTTAGTATTGGTTGAGAGAGCTGTTTCCAAAATCATCAACCTCACAATGATTAATGATGATGGCAAGAGTTTATATGAGTCTTGTGAGAAATTCAAAGCTAAAATCCAGGGTGACGTGGTGGTTAAAAAACAGAGGCTATTCCCATGCTGTAATATGCTGTACAGTCTTGTTATTCTCTTGTTGATTTTCTGGCATTTGTCTAGTATTGCATATTGTCAAGGCCATGCCTCGGTGCCCCATTCCGCCGCTTGGTATTCCGAGATCTACCCTTTATTGTAATCTCTTCCTTATTGTTCTTTCTCACTACACATACCCTTTCATTCTAGACTCTCCTTATTGTCTTTTACTCTGCCATCCTCATCAGCAGGGGCGCCGGAACCCAGGGGAGAGGGTGAAAGTGCGGAACGCGGAGGAAGAGGCAACTGCAACGAGAGTAAAAGAAGAGAGGAAGAAGAAGACAGCTGCTGCTTGGGCGAGTGCGGAGAGAAAGAAAGCTGCACAACAGGCACAAGATCAGGCCACTCGGGCTCAAGAGCAGAATGCAGAGGTCATAGAACAACAGCGGCTGCTAGCGGAGGCCACGACAGCTAGAAGTCAGCGGGGCACTTTACCCAGTGAGATGTTGGTCTTCCCTCGGAGGCCGGTGGTAGAAATTAGAAGGGAGAAAGGGAAATGGAGAGAGAAGGTCCAGGCGCAGATAAGTGCTCCCAGTTTTCTTTCTTGAAGATGTACTTATTCTTCTTCTTTTCAACTAGTTGATGGAGATCCGGACAATGGCAATGACGGCGACAACAACGACAATGATTTGTGAGAGGTGCAAGGTGAAGAAAATCCCTTGCCTTCAGCAGGCTGGCAAGTGAGGTTCCGTAATCTGTAAGCCCTGCCACAACTCTAAGGTGCGGTGCTTCTTTTCGGGATGACCATCGACAGGCAAATGGGAAGGCAGGTCTGGTGAGCATATCGCCGTCATGGAGAGTTAAATGGCCCAGAGCCTCGCCGACCTCTGGGCTCTTTGGGTAGTCAATTCAAAATCCCACCAGTACCTTGACCAGTTGTTGAGAAGACAGGAAGATGACATGCCCAACTTATAGCCATGGAGACAAGGATGGCAATGATGGGTATAGGACCAGCAACAGCGGGACCATCGAGGAGGATTACCAAGTGGCAGCGACTGCTGAAACAGCGGAGGGTTGTACAGGAAAGTGACAAAGAAGAGAAAGGAAAGGAAGCGGAGGAGCAGGAGAAGGGAATAGAGGAAGATGGAGAAGGAGAAGTAAAGGAGGTAGAAGAAAAAGGAGAAGGTGAGGCACTGGCACTGACAAAGGCGAACAGGGCAGCCTCTGAGAAGGGAAAGGAGAGGGAGGTTGAGTAGTAGAATAACAGACATCAGACATCGGTCCACCAGCCCTTTCTTGTAGTCTTCTTGCCTTCTTGCTCCTTCCTACATATATTTTTTTGACTTTTTGTATATAAAAATGTTATCGCATCTTGAAATCAGAAAGCGAATGGGCCACAAAGCAGCGTCAGAAATAAAAGCATACCTAGTTCAAGTGTGAATGAAAAATAAGTGAAATAGTAATCGAAAAACAGAATAAGCAATCAAGAGAGAGGAATAAACACCTAATTTGCTATCATTGTCTTTACCTTCTCGACGCAACAAAGTAATCTTTGGTGGAGAATGGAATTTCGGAAAAAGGAATAAAAAGTTTTTTGTGATCAAGGACCAGGCCTTTCAGGGTATTGAGCATGGAAAGCGGGTACCAGTTCATCAGCATCTAATTCATCAGCAGCAACCCAAGACAATTCATTGTCGGTATCTCCATAACCGGCCTACTAAATGTAATAACGAAGAGGACAATACTTGTACCTTCTATCCAGGTTGGAGTCCAGGATTTTGGCAACATTGTACTCCTCTTCACCATCAACTTCAATTGGAGGTGGAGGAGATTGAGTACGATTTGGAAATGGGTTTGGCGTAACCGGCTTCAGCTGTGAGATGTGAAAAACCGGGTAAATTCAGCAAAGATAATCCAGGAGCTTGAGCTTGTAAAACAAAGTACCAGGTTGATTGATGACCTTGAAAGAACCAAGATATTTTTCAGAGAACTTTTCAGTAGGACGAGGGGGACATGCCTAGGGCAGAATGGGTCCACAAATTAATCACAAACTCCGCCATGGGGAGGTGTTCTGCCCAATTGTCTTGTCGCCGTCCCACCTAGAGGCGGATATATTTCTCTACTTCCTGATTTGCGCATTCAAT